ACGAAAAATTTTTAGTCGAGGCTAGAATTGACGAGCTAACACTGTGATCTGTGGAAATTCAAGCGAATTTTATAAAACTGATAATATATATAAAATAAATATTTGGAGGAAGTTTGTAGACATAGACATATTCAAATGAAATTAATTCTTAATTGGTCTCTCTGCAAGCTCTTAGACAAAGATATCTACCAGTGATGTCTCAATTCGAATTTCCAGTGATAGGTTCAAAAATCAGCATTTTTGGTCCTACGTCAAATACGCCTATTTATCTTCAATACGACCTCAATGACATCTCTATCTTGCCCTGTCGTCAGCATATTAACCTGGCTAAGATTCTAAATAGTACGGTTAAAGCTCTTTCTAATGCCCCTCGACTTTAAATGCCCCAGGTATTTTCACGCAATCTCTTGCGCACATCCCTTTAACCTCAGCTAAATGAAATTGACGCGGCCTCTTTTTACGCCCCAGCTTTTTAAGGCCCTTATTTTTTAGAAAAACATTTCTATTAGCGCCCAATGCGTTAAATAGCGGATTTACCCTATTTTTGACGTCAAGCACCTGGAAGTTCTTAGTACATTGAACTGGACAGAATCCAAGTGAATATAAATGCGCCTCCTGGGAGGCTACTTACGCTAGACTTGACCAGCGATGCATGGAAATGCGGTGAACCCGTCCTAATCGACATAATTCTTAACTGATTTTTATTGCTTGGATTTAAAATTGTAACAATTTGCATTACAGGCATCCCAACGTACCTAAAAAAGAAAGTTACTGGTGATGCAAAACGACATCGGTGATGTACCAACTTGTATTGTATCAAACGATTTAATATAATTCCATCACACGGCATACTTAGAAAGTTGCTCATAACAGAGAACTGCTTATAACTAAAGCTTGAGCATCAATTTCCTATTCATCAAACCCTTCACAAAAAATGAGATGTATACATTATCTATTCGAGATTCTGTGACAATGTCTTAGTTTTAGCGACTTAGAGCATACGGTCTTTGGCTAGACTGCTTGCTAATTCGAGAACGTTGAGCCATGCAAGACAGCGATAAACAGTGATTTGAAAGGTGCTAGGCAAGAAGTAAAAATGAGACAAAAGATTTGATAATCATAACAATCTTTTTGACTGTTCTTATCTCGAAAAACCTAGCTGCAGTGAGAGTTAGATTCGAGAAGAAGAAAAGCTTTTGAAATGGTGGTTATGGCAGCTTTATACATTAAACAACTGATCGAAGATGTTAATCGTGGAGTTAATTAAACAGTAGAAAATTCAAAATTTGAGCACATTTCTTTGAGAAAATTTGAAAAGACGACATCTGCCTGAAGATTAATAAATTCAGTTTAGCAACACAGGTTAAGCTAAAAATGGCGATAAATAATAAAGAATTGTTCTCTCACTGGTGACGAAAATCCAGATATGTTGGCTGGAACTGTAATACTTTGTAGCTTGGCAACCGCTGCCCTCGCGAATCACTGCGAAATAAGATGAATCGATCGATTAGCGTAATCATAGACCTACAACAGTACGATTAATTACATTCAAATGCTGAATTAACAAAGTGACTTTTTCAAGGGTAGAGTTAGGGGTAGCCTGCATGTCAAAGTGGTACACGCACAAATATCAGGGATGTTGCTACGCTAGGGGTGGGGGTGGAAAAAATTATGTTGCAAAAACGATGAGTTTTCTGCCATGTAGGGGTGCTTCGTCGACAAATTTTCAGATTTGCCATCAAATAAAGGATGGCCTTCGTACCCCCCATGAGCACAATTGCTATCTATGGTGTTGGCAAATATGTAACAGTTCTCGAGAATCGGACACTTCTCAAAAATAGGAAATCTAGGCCGGCCCTCTAACCTGTACTTCAACCACAATCTTAGACTATAACAAAAGCCATCTTCTAAGGTCAAGAAATAAACAAACCTGATATTTCTATGCATTGTTCGACAATTTATTCTATTTAGGGGCAATAAAAGAAAACGGGGGTTAAACCTTGTTTACGTATCATTCCTTCGGTATCTTCTGAATACGATTCTAGCAAGCAGTGTGCAATCTTACACTGCCCCTTAGCGCCTAACGCGAGGCTGGCGTTTACGTCAGGTACACTCGAGTCCGGGACAACGGGCAGAAGCCTAGTCAGCTTAAGATATATTTAGTCCTTTCAAAACAGAAAAACTAAAAGGATTTAGGAAACTGCAATGACCTGTATTGTTACAGACATCCCCAGCTGACACAGGGCAAAGAATTAAGCAGATAGCAGGTCGCAATACACCATGTTTATCATAATAGGGGCATTGATAGAAATCCTCGCTTATCAGTCTTAACATTTGCTAACAATTGGCAATATCGATTCATGGTAAGATCAAGGACCCGATTCAAGTAAAGAAAACTCACAAGTTCCGTTTTAAATTATTCATGCATTATTCATGAAAATATTCAGAAGCATGTTATGGACCCATGAATATTTAATGCAAAGAGCAGCATTTGCGGAGAGAACTAATTGGATATGTCATTCTGTGGGCAAATTTGAAGCATTGACATTAACTCGTCACCCTTTGGATTAATCAAACGCTACTCACTAGCCTTCCAGCACCTAAGCATAAAATCCCAGCTCCTCGATACATTATCAAAACACAATCTCATGTATTTTAGGTAGGATAGAATTATTGGAAGGGCACTATTGTTTGAATTGAAAACAAAAAACGTATTCTTCATTGAAAAAAAGGTTTTTCGTAATTATTGGAAGGGAGCCCGCTTAGAACCGTAGTAGCGGCAGCTGTTATGGCTGAGGGGCGATTCACTTCAAAAACCCTTTGGTGGAAATCCAATTCTTTTATCCGAAAATATACGGAAATCCTTTTGTTTTCTTGGAAATCTAATTCACAGTTTACAGAGTGAATTGTCGCTCTGTAATTGCCATTTGCCATAGTTCAAACAAAACGTACCAAAAACCAAAATCGCTGGCATATGATTTCATAATTTTTCAAAATTTTTTGACAAACAGGGCAATCTTTTGACCAGGATTCACATTATAATAACAATAATTATGATGATGATTGATTGATTATGATGCTGTTGAAGACATTTATGATGACAGTGATCAATGATTGATAATCAGTGATTGGTGATGAAGATTATAATCCTGATGATTAATGTTGATTCTATGTAATTTTGCAAATGATTTGTGATTCTTATGCTCATGTTACTGAGTATGATGATGATCACTGATGAGTATTGATGAAAAATGGCAACAATGAGTAGCAAAAACCTGGTGGAAGTATCAAAATAAAGTTGAGCGACTTACCTGTTTTGTATATGTCGTAAACCATCACTCATGGCCTAAAAGTGACAGAATTCAATAAAGATGTGAGGCACATTTTGAAAACAAAATATTAGGGTATTGTTGTCTCCAATCACAACAGCCCTATTACATGTTCAAAACAATTAATCTACTTTCAAACTACAAATAAAGATTCCTTTACCAGAAGACAACCAACAAAGTTTACAATTCATCTTTTTGCAAAATTTTACATGAATATGAATAAAATAGAGACATTATCAAACAAGCAGACAGCCTTGTTAAAACATGTTAAAATAAAAAGTTCGAGATAATGACAACATTTTTATTGAAGTAAGAAAATTGCAAAGGGTTCCTTTCAATTGCTTGAAAACTATTTCCCTAAAAAAGTTTAGAAACCAACATTGTAAACTGTCAAAAAAGAAAAACTACACATGCACAAAAATGAAATTTGAATAGATAACAACAAGGCAAGATATATTACATTAGTTGTTTATACCATACAACAAAACTGTGGAAGAGACATGAATCCAAGATGTGTCAGTTAACAAAATAAAAATAATTTTGCGATCTCTATTGACAAAATAGAGATTTTTGGCAACTAGGTCTAAATTTTGGCCTAAATGATTTCACTTAAAGGCAGTGTGTCATGCCATTCATTTGTTTGCTGAAACAATAAATAAAATTTCTACTTTAGTTAGATTTCATTTTGTAACAAAGGAGGTCCCTTACTTGCTATCGATCAGTTTTACTAATTTGTCATGCTACACTTACTTTGAGGACCCTCTAAATTCAACAAATAAAAGCTAGTGTTAGGTTATGTTAAGTTATGTTAAGTTATGTTAAGTTATGTTATGTTTGTAATGTTATGCTGTGTTATACATATATGTTATTTGTGGCTTTGTTATGTTTATAACCCTAAACAGTGTTTTTCTTAGCTTTATCATATCATAAAATTCCAAACAAAGCCCAGGGTTCATAAAGGTTCAAATGGAGCTTTTAGGGGGTTTATATTTGGGGGGACTTTATTTGGGCAGACTAGATTGGAATTCAGTTAATGTCAGAAAGTTATGCAAAATCAATTTTTTCAAGCCTAAATGAAAAGATCAATCATGAATCTGAGACACATTTGTTGGTGTCCATTGTATCACTAATGGTGTGTATTTCTATTGAAGGGAGAAAATAATACCTTAATGTTAAATGTAACAAATGTACTAAAGAAAAAATGAATAATAGAATTTCATTGTTGGTGTCCATTGTATCACTAATGGTGTGTATTCCTATTGAAGGGAGAGAATAATGCCTTAATGTTTAACTCCAAATATAAGCCGGGAGCTAATATCAAAGAGGACTTATATTTGGAAGCAAGTTTACATCCCAAGAAAGGAGGGCATATATTTTTGGGCTAAACATATTTGGAGGGGGGAATAAATTCAGAATTTAACAGTAATTATACTTTGACTGCAGTACAATTTTATTATTTTACTATGATTTGTTGTTGTAGAGCAAACACTCACATTTTAAAGACATGGATCAATCAGGAAAAAAAAAACTTTTCCTTTTTTAAATGATTGTCCTGTCTAACACATTTTCATACCCTCCTTGATGAATAATATTTTACATTTAAAAATACTTATTAATGGCTAGAGTATGCAAATCATCCCGATATCAATATCTAGGGTCCATTTGCAAGGGAAAATGTTATGTTACCTTTTTGTTGTTATTCATTCTTTATAATGAATCAAGTAAATTCAAAATTTTTACCATATTTCTTACTTTTGACCTTTTATCCTAAGTATGTTCCATTCACTAATCCTCAGGGTAGCGGCAAGGATTACCAGTGTGTGCTAGTGAAGTTTCTCATAGATTTCAAAGAGTTCAGTATTATTTTGATCTAATTCTTGCTCCTTCTAAGGTATTAAAGAATTTACCAACCATTATACATTAATTAACTCTGATGAAGCACTGTATGTTAAGCATTTACTAGCATTTATAAAATTTAATTTATTTCCAAATTCTATTTGACTACATTGGGTTCTCATTGTCGTGTTGCTTTGTTCCTAAATATTATTCATCATATATTTATCCAAATGCAAACCAGCATTTGATGCAAACTTACAACAGTCATTTTCACCATGTTGTTGTGATTTATGAAAATGTAAAAATTTTGGTATCGGCCACAAATTTAATAAGTAGTATAAATGATTTAGTTAGAACAAGAAAACCAGGAAATTATAGCTCAGCTTATAAAAATCATGCAACAAGTCTAAAAGTTGAAAAGCAAGAGCTTTGAAATGTTTTTCTTAACAAGATCCTTGTCTAGAGATTGTAACTAACTAGAGAAACTATGTAAACAAACACACATGCATGAACTGATGCAAGGCATGTATACACATGAAATGAATTTCGCTTCCAATTATCTTCTTTTATTCACAATTAGGTTGTGCAAACAACAAATTCGCTTAACCGATTGAGATCATCTTTGTTTTGATAATCCTGGCTTTCGAGCAACATAGGAACCTTTGTTTGATAAATTGTTTTAAAAAAATGAAATTTTCATTATTTTGTCAATCTTGGGTTTCGAACCGCATCGCTTATGGGGGAATGTTTTTGAAAAATTCAATTAAACTTAGTAATGCCTTTCAAGTTTCAACAACATCTTTATAAATAAACTGCAATACATACTAATTTGAGTAGATAATAATATACTTACGACAATTCTCCTATAAGATCTATTTCACGCCACCCTTCTACTTCCTACCGCTTTTTAGAAATTTTATAAACCATGGCAACACGGGTAAATTCTTGGAGTGGTTCGCCCCTAAAGAAACCTTGTTAGAAGAAGTCCGAAGAAATTGCTTTTAAAATCGTCCGTTGTCGTTTTAAAGTTCCTTTGATCTAGACGACGTTAAAAAAGTTGTAAATTGACTCCGAGGTAGAGAGGTTAGAAAACCCTGGTAAAGTCGCAGTGTTGTTTACAAAAATTATAATAAACACAAACCTTGTATGGGTCTCCCCTTACTGCACTTAGTTCTGGAGTGTAGAATCCTAGATAAAAAAGCAAAATGTTTCTGATAAAATTAATAATAAGAAAATATTGAAGATACTTAATAACTTAATAAAGAAGGAAGTTTTGGCAGCTGATGAGACAGGTCTGATATGATAATAGACGCTCTTCCTTCGTATATATGGTACGGTTATCTGATGGCGGATCCAAAATATTGTGAAATCAATATACGTCTGAAATGAATAAAATTAACTGCGTGCAACTTATGGCATACTGTTGATGTTGAATAAGAAAGAAAACAAGCGCGAAGTAAGGACGAATAAATTGAGACACAGGCGTACACACTGCCGGTCGTGCTAGCAACAGAGTCGAACATTTGGCAAAAAATTTATCATTCCTTTAACATGAATGCATAGTTAACTCTACTCAACAGACAACTTATTTATTATTCTTGGCACCAATGGGAGTCCTGAAAGCCGGTGACAGTCTAGGGTGTGCACAACTAACCAACACCCACGCGGTTCTGACCCCTTCCTAAGCCGAGTTGTACAGATCTGTTAGGCCCACATGGATAAATGAAACTTTAATTACCGTTGCCGATAGGGCGATTCTGTGCGCAGCCACATCTTCCATTTGAATTTACTGCCACAGCAGATCCCAGAATTATTGCAATTACTTTTATCCAATTGACTATAATTCGCTGTAAGATATATTTTTCGCCAGCATTCGTAGCCATATCCAGTTTGTTATCATTTTCAACCTATGCCTTCTGTCATGCTGGGTACGCGTTGTACTTATAGGGGTCTGGAAATGAGCTGTCATTCACCCAGACTCCTGTCAATCATTAAAAATTCACATATTATTATAATTATTATTATCGTTCTCGTTTTATTAAAGAATAAAATTGCAACATTTTTTAATTAAAAAGAAAAGGGGTTTTTAATAAGGTACAATGTATTGAATTAGTCTAAGAGTTTTTTAATGTTTTATAAGCACTTTTATTTAACATTTTTAACATGAATGTATTCAGGACAACATTTCTTAAATTTAAGACCATATCTTATTTATTATTCAACAAAGAATAGCTATGTTCTGTGGATCTGTTAACATCTACTATTATTACTATTATTATTATCATTATTATTATTACACTGATTCTGTTTTGGGAACTTCATTCTTCATAATATTCTTAGTATGTAGATGTAAATTTTAAGGAGGTGTCCGTTGTCTAGAGGTGTCCGGTATCCTGAGTCTATTTATGCAAGGCTTTTACCATAGGAATAATGCTCGGATAAAATCTGTCTTGGTAGTTCAGTACCTTAGGAAAAATAAAGCTTGTTGAGGAGAGTAGGCGTAGGAGTCAAAGGGGCGGGGGGGAGGGGACTGCACCACAAATTAGGCCTGTCATTACTCATTGTAAACTTGTAACAGATAGACAAGGTTTACATTTGCTTTTAATAGCTTTCAGACCCTATGCTTTGAAAAATGTTGTTGCCAAGCAGGTGATGTGAGACTGACATCAAGGTAACTATGTGCGAAAGTTTCTGCTTTGACAACGAAGGAGCAAGGTGATTGAAACGCGTTTCCGCGGATGTTTAAATGCTGCTTTGCTTATATGTTTAGATATTTAAAAGAAAAAAGGAAATTTTGGGAACGTTCTCAATTCGTTATTCATTAAAGTACCGAATATACAGTGGCTGTTCATAAGATAAGAAAATTTCTAGAACTTTGTCTGCTCAATCCAGGGACCGTGGAACATATTACGGCCTGAAGCGGCTAAAAGGTTCATGATTACAAGCAATTCATGTTTCACTCCAAGCTCTAAATTTTTATTCATAAATTATTGGTGTTTTACACCCGTACTATCTTGGTTACTCTTTGAGTTCTTAATATTCTTACCTTACTTAATTCAAGAGGACGGCATCGGCTCGTTGAACCATGCTTCCCTGGATCATATAGTATATGCCTTGTTTGTATCATCTATGAACTAAATTGAATTGGTGTGATGACACAAACTGCATTATAGATGTTTAACGGCAGTTTACCTTGAAACATCCCTAATTTGAAGATATTTTTAAGTTTCATGTTTGAAGTCAGCCTGATATGCTGCGGTGAAAGATATTTGACTTTTAGATTATTTGGGACATTGCAACATAGGCTTGACCGACGGCAGAAACCTGCATAAAACAAACTAAAGATGTGATCTGATATTGAATGAAACTAAACAAGAAAAGAAGAAACGTGATTATTCGTATTACTTCTGTGCTGTGTAAAATTGAATTCTTGCCAAGGGTTTTATCAATGAGTACCAATGGCAGGTGTTCGCATAAAGACCAAAAATGGAAATCCCATGATAGCGTGGTTTGTGGTTTTAATGTTGTCTGCCTTGCTGGGCCTAATTCAGCCTCAACAGATCTAACATGTAGAACAAATGAGCATTTTCTGCCGGGCATGCCTACGCCATAGCTGTTATATTGTAAAGCTGTAAATAATGTATGCTGGTATTTACTTTTTTCGTTGAATAGTGTTCCTTGGAATTTCAATTTCATTTACGCAATGAGGGTCAATGCAGCTGTAATTCTTGTAAATGTTTATATTATTCATCTAAAAAGGAAATGTATATAAGAAAAAGAAATGCAAAGAGACACAAAGGCGAGTCAAATGACGAGTGACTGCGACATATCAAGGTCATATACGGGTGAAAGTCGAGTATAATTAGATCTAACGGTTCTCCTAAATGGAGTGTTTTTTTGGTAGCCAGGAATAATTGTTGGCTTATCACGCCACTTTACAACGTTGAAATATGAGCCTCACTACAAAGAATCAATCGAACTGTTTTTGTTGAAGGGTTCTGTTCGAACTGTTCTAGGCTAAATTGTAGGTAGGGGTGTGCCGTGAGCATATCCAAAGTAGTACCCTTGGCTAGGCCAATTTCTGCAAAGTTTGCTTCATTTGATAATTCATTATGAACAAAAATGGGTTATCAGGATGAAATTTCTTCTTTCAAATGCTATATTAAGAATCAAATCGTGTCAAAGCATCAGTATTGTCAATTATGATACTCTTGGTTAGAAGGACTGGACCTGAATTGCGAAAAGGCTAGACTGTACACTACACTAGGCTAGTCTGGAAAAGTATACCCTTGCTCGCAGCATATCCCAAGGTATATTTACAATGGACGAACTTCCCTGTGTCTAAGTTTCTAAGTTTCCAAGTGTCTAAGTTTCTGAGTTTTCTAAGAGTACAACAAGGAAGTCATGAAATGTGATAAGAAGGAAGAAAAACTGACCAGCTACTCTTTTTATTATTTCCCTTAGTATCAAGTAAATCGGAGATGAAAAAAACATGGAATAAACCGGCCATAGATTATATAACGCTGACCATCCTGTAGGGCAGATAATTCACGGGTAGAAAAGGCATTTTGTAAAAGCATGGCAGAGTTCGAGAGTCCAATGCTGCCATTACCCTGAGGTGCGGAGCTCGTAAAGCCAAAAGCAACTTTCGACTACCCAAGAATAAGGTTTTAATCACTCCTATTTCCATTGCTCGTTTTGCATTCTTACACTACTGCCAACAAGCTCTGTTACTTTTGGTTAGAGAATACGAAGCAAAAAAGGAGACAGATCTAATCATTGTGGATCAACATGCAAAACTCAAAATCTTAATATATTATAATTGCATCTTGTATAAAACAAGCCATTCAAACATAAGCGTTATTCTACATTTTAGGAACCCGAGCAAGGCTTGAAATGATTTCATAGTAAATATCGATGCCTTTGAGAAAAATGTTTTCGTTCAAAAATTCGTTATTGTCATGCAGTAAGATTGGCGTGTTGTTCATCGGCGAAAATCCAAGGCAGGGAGTTCCAATCTGCAACGAAAATGGCTGGATTTTACTAAAAAGAAATATGAAAAATGGAAAAGACATGGATAAATGAAAAAGCGACATTCGTGGTGGCTTCTTAAAAGAATACTAGTGTAGGTTGTTTTGAATCCTATGGTGTAAAGAATACAAGGAGTTTATGGCATAATGTGACGTTCTGAGTGCATGGTAGATACGATTTACGAGTATATCAAATCATAGCATTTAAGTTCATAGAAGAATTTTTGAATTTCAGCTATCGTGTTATTTGACGATTTGCCTCTTGATGGATATTCTATAGAGAGGAAACTGATCGATTCATACGAAGACTCCAATTGTCAGATAACGCAGCTGAAATAAGGGCTCGTTCAAATGTTACGTAGTGCATCTATGGCCGGTCTGTCACTGTTTTACCGGTCTGTCATAAAGAAATCAATGCCGTAAAGGCTGAGCTTTTCACGTTTTGGTTCATAAAACAGAGCGGTCCTAAATTGTAACTCAAAGTTTTCACGCTTATTACAATCATCTGGCAGCTATTAAGTTACTCTATGCTTCTACTTTATAATAGGTAAGTAGATTGACTTTGTTAGAACACCACATCGTCATCAAATACCCTGCAATTAATAAGTATGGTAGAAAGGTGATTGATCACATTATATGGACTCTGTATTGCATCAAACCAAATCAAAGCATGCACGAGCCTTGGCATAAAGAAAACATTAGAAGCAAGACAACAAATAACAAGCAGCACTATTACAATTTAGACTTTAAACCCTTCAATTGCTGAAAAAAATTAATATTTATTGAATACGGCGCGGTAACCAAAACAGCAGTAGGGAGTAATATCGCAGCGTAATTGGTTAAAACCATAGCGTCTTGTTTAAATAAAAACAATTTTTGGATCGATCAAAACAAAAATATTTGACTCGAAAGTTGTGGGTTGAAAATGAGCCAACTGGCTGTATTATAACCCCAATAATTACTCAAGATTTGAAGATCGATCTACAATTAAATGGTTCTTTAAGACACGTTTATTTATTTCAATCATTTCCTGTATCTTTCTCTATTTATTGTTTTTGCTGCCATTTGACCATGGTGGCACCTTATTCTAACGAAATACAACTGAACTTTAAGCCAATCGCATAGGTTATGCAGCGTTGCATCACAGATATGGAAAATCTTTCAAGTACGTTTTGGATAACCATGGACTGAATAAGATGATAAAAAGAACTGGACCTAATACTGGTCATTGAGGAACACCTTTTCGTGCATGCCAACATATGAGCTCTTATACTCACTACATCAAGATACTGCCAGTAAACAAGAGTTCAATATGGAAGGACATGTTTTTATCAACAAATCACAAACTGCTTGCTAAATAATCAACACAAGATTGAAAAAAATTGCATAAGAGCGTAATTTACAGTAAAAATTGAATCACAAAAGCTCAAAACAAGAATTCATTCAAAGCGCTTGCATAATTGCAATTTCGTACAACTCAAAGAAGAGATTTCATTTCAATTTGGCTGTCATATTAAACGACTGTGAGATGTTATTTCGTGTTTTAGAAACGGTACTAGCTGTGATTGTCGGCTTGTGAGTTCTCGCAGCACAGAGCAAGTAAAAAGATTTAGCTGAGGTGTGATGGCAGCTGGCCCTGGAATTATCTTAAGCATATTTCTTTATATTATGGAAGGATAGGTTGCAGGGTTCTGGAATATAGCTTCAGTGATTTTGAAGTTAAGTTGAGTGAAACCTCATTAACGGCCACATCTCATAGGCGGAGATCTTCAAACGTGGAGCAAACCGTTTTGTCCAGACATTATTTTACGGTTAACGTCTTGTATACAGCCTCCAGATAACGAACACCTCCATACAACGGACACCTTCCTACAACGGACAACTCACTACAACGGACAACTCACTACAACGGACACCCTTCTAGAACGAACAAATCTCAAAAGTCGTGCACGTGATTTTTTAGATAATATTGTTTTTCAACCGTAATCTGAACCATGGGGGTTCGAAAAATCATCAAACGACCATATAATACCATATTTTTTGCAAACTACAGAAAAATTCCAGGAGAAGTGAAATCTGGGTGGGCATGAATTTCATGGTTTTTAAAATAATGTCGTCATTGCTCCAAACAAACTAATACTAATAAAGAGCTGTGTATCTGGTAATTACACAGTATTCTGCATATACTTTAAGGGCAAACAAGTTATTCACAAACCTTTCGCAAGTATCTACTATCGGTACCAGCAGGAAAAACCTCCTTGTCAATCTTCATATTCCTAAAAAGAATATGAAAAAGATACATTAAAGAGAACCTGATTGCCTCCAGACTGATGGAAGAAAAGTTAGCCACTGTACAGCCACTGGTAACTCTTTTCGCCTTCATGCCCACACTTATGTTATTTCCTACGTCTGTGTGTTGCTGTGCGATTGAGTTGCGCGTGCCTTTGATTGAAAGTTTGATCAAGCAAGTTAGTTGTGCGCTATGTCACTATAGGACGCTGTGGATAGGCAAGCATTTACAGCCAATTTTACGCTGTTTGGGCGCTTTTTATAAATATACATGGAAGAAAATCAGAAGGAAATTTTATGGAAGGAAATTTAAATACAAAGAAGGAAAAAATAAGGACATTTTGGAAAGTGGAAGCATAGCTTCCTTGTTACTATGGCTTGATTGCACAAAGTTTGGAAAATCTGGGGATTTCTGCTCAATCGATCAAAATCAAGTAGCAAGAAAAAAGATGCATAGCGCAAAAACATTGCAAAAGCTAACAAATGTATTTATTATCATATACGTCACGCAAACGCTCTATCGTTACTGACATTTGAGTTTTCGGGACCGCCACGGCAACGAATCGAGCGTTTCCGCCAAATTTCCAGGGCAGGTATGTAATTTGTCCTGTTCAACCCGACAGACAAGCACTGAAACCCCCTGGCCACATCGCCTCCATGACCTGCCCTGTATTTGATCAAATGTTACCTGCCTGTTGAATGTAGGCAGTGCATGGTCTGTAGGCTTAGGATGTAATTTGTATTTTCTTTAATATTGTTTTTATAAAATGTATCCAACTTGTAAGAAAACAAATATAGGCCACAACAGCGTCGTGCTTTGTCTTTTTGTAACACGAATCAGTGGATTCTGTGGACTTTGAGAAAAGTTGAAAATGTCTTTCATAAAGGAAAGATTGTCATTTTTCAGCGTTTTGAAGATTTCAGTAGCAAATTGCTGCATGTTTTAGCAGTGTATTTAAGAGCACAGCAAATTTATTCTACGTTTTATTGTACGAGAGTAAACAGGTGGGGGTTATTAGGGTTTGCGGTTAAATTAAATTTGAAGATAATTTGTCGCGGATCACGGGTAATCTGGCAATTTTTCGACGAACGATGGAACTCTCTACAATTGCTAAACGCGGATCTTCTAAAAAATGATACACAGAATACGGAATCTTTATAAATTATAACGGATCTGTGGAATTTTTCACTCTTTGTCTTGAAAAATAGGATCTGGTCAAATCTTGTTATCCTGGTCAGCAGCATGTACAAACAATAAAGGGATGCGGAACTGTAGCTAAAAATTACCGGAACGGCGGATTTCAACTAAAAATTTTGCGGAACGGCAGGTTTCTACCCCCTTGACGATCCCCACAAACAGGAAAAGGTAGATTTTTTGATTAATTCTACGTTAATTAAGATTGGTCAAAGGTGGTGGCTTCCATACTTTCATAGTCGAAACAGCATTATTTGATAGGACATGTGAAAAGGGAACTTGTCGGTAAGCGGATGAAGCAAATTTAAAAAATGACCGATAACTGAATTTTCAAAGGCAGTCCTCAAAAAAAGGGGGCATTAAATGCTTCTCAACATAAGTATGTATTTACACTATTGGTGTATAGAACAGGACGGTTATATACACCGAAAGCGTGTACAGCCCTGTCTATACGACATCGAGGAATTTTTGAACAGCAATTTTCATAAGCATGCAATCAAGCAAACTGGAGCAAACGCCACAACTTAATAATGACTCTATGAGACAAAGTTACTAGGAATATAACTAAGGAATAAAAAGAAAAAAGTCCGACACTTAACTTCTAATTTCATAATGAGAAGAACACAGGCTGCTGGGTACAGAACAGTGATTCCTGTGGAAGTTTTATTTTTTATCGAGTGATTTCCAGTATGATACTGACTCGTGAATACTTACATCTTAGTGCAGGCTTGTGAAAAGGCTTCCCACCATGGGTTGCCAGTTTCTGTTGAAGTTACTTCTTCGGAGTCACTTTTCTAAGAAAAATACCATATTTAATCACTTTCAATTGTGTATTATCGATACTGAGACGCAATAAATCAAGAGTTTCTCAGAACAGATAACACAATAACTTCCTTATTAAGAACGACATAATACATTCTAATAAACATCCGTCCTTTGTCATTTATAAAAACGCCAGAGTTTTAAGGCAACAACAATACTGACAGTCCTTCTCTTTGCTCCGGTTGGGTTTTTATCGTATTCCTATGGCTCTAGCGCAAGCAATTTTATATAAAACTTGCATTTGAAGAATCCTTTATCGAAAAAGTTATCCATCGAAAAAGCTGCAAAAAGTATCGGAACCTGGGAACCAGATTCTTAGAAAGTTTTTTGACTTGGCAGAAAATTTTCAGCAAAACTTGATAAGAAACAGGTGTTTTTTTGCAATAATAAGAATTGTTTCTTGACTTTTTCATAACATATCAAAAGTTCATACAAATGTAAGCTTAAAAAGTTTCACATTTTGAAAACCCTTTATAAAAGCTATTAGTCATTTGTCAAACATCACAAACGAATTGTATAACTTGGAAGCAACCTTTAGTTTCCTTGTTTAAGAAATTTTTTACAGATAAAGCTGCAGAACTGAAGTATGCAATTTATGTGCTTTGAAAAGTGATTGTTTCTGTGGCCTTATATCAGGCTATGCTTTTGGATCTTTAAAGATAAAATTCTATGAGAATTACGTGCATCCTCAGTTTTCTTCCTGCTTGCAATACTATACTTGACTTAAGTCTTGCCTGAGGTGTTGCCAGAGTTGGCAAAATCTTGAGTCTTGATTGAGTTCTTGAGAGACTTGGCAAAGTTTGTGATTGATATTGAATTACATCCTCAGGTTCTTTTGATTCTAATTTTCCCTTATCATATCTGTCACCATTTATTAATATAAAAGATCATATTGACATTTTTACGCATCATATGAAATGAAAGGCCGGTAAATTAGACTCTTGTTAAAGTCAAACGAAATGTTGCTTGAAAATTTGTGACTGTAAATGGAGTGTGACTGTAAGCGAAGTTGAAAAGCTTTCCATATCTTGGTCGAAATTTTATGTGACTACAATGGGTAGTGAGTTATCGTAGTACAGCCAAGAACAAGGGAACAGCAGCCGAAAAACAAGTTATGGTTATCTGTGTGCTTCCGACACAAATATTCAAGCAATAATTCCCCAAGGTCGTTTGAAAGGGTTCATATTTTAGCAGGTGACAAATACCATCAACCTGGCAGAAGTGTGATTGGTCAAGATAGCCCAATCTTTTAAAATACAGCCAATCAGAATCATTACAAAGCGAAAGACATTAGTCATAGAACAATTTATTTCAAGTTTCCAAAGAGAGGATTAAGGTCTCGTTGCATAGGCTTTTTTTTGTATTATAGAAACTTTTAAATATTTTTAAATCCCGTAAAAAGGAATTGTGAAACAAGGAAATAACTTTTGTAGCATATCCTAGTAAAAAACGTTTCACACTGAGTTGTTGCAGTTCGTCAAAGACAAAAAATCGTTGCATGATCTCACAGCAGTTCAGCCATCTTGGCCTAACACTTTTTTGAAGCTAAATTTTATCAACAACGCCTTTTGATTACTTGTCATGATGACGGATTTTAGCTGCCTCAAGAAGACTCGCTATAATTCCCCTTAAATGCATCACCAGGAAGAAGGGACTTTGGGTCAAGAACAGGTTCCTTTGTTAACGAGGTAAGAATTCATCCAGGCAAACTCACCTGCACAAATTCGTACGTGACATCACTCCCTGCATTTCTTACCCAAGTTTGGATCCGCTCTTCAAAATCCTTAAATATTAGAGTAAGAATATGAAACAAATAAAAGAGAAGGTTTAAGAAAAAGTCATCAAAATACCAGGAAATTTCATGGTGTAGAAAAATCAGATTAATTCTGAATCCTGCAAATTCTGAAACGTACGTCCAAAATAAGTTGACATTGTGTGTTTCTACCACTTTTCTCTCTCTCTCTCTCTCTCTCTCTCTCTCTCTCTCTCTCTCTCTCTCTCTCTCTCTTCTCTCCTCTCTCTCTCTTCTCTCTCTCTCTCTCTCTCTCTCTCTCTCTCTCTCTCTCTCTCTCTCTCTCTCTCTCTCTCTCTCTCTCTCTCTCTCTCTCTCTCTCTTTTCGTTACTCTGTTTCTTATCAATTGTTTTTTGTTTATATTTGAAACAAATTATTTTACAAAGAACGTATGATACTTAAGTAAATCTTTTAAACTATGCGAGCTGTTCCTTTGTAAAAATGGCACTAAACTTGCCAGCCTCCTAGGCTCTTTACAGAAGAACCTCTATTCTTCCCTGGCATATTTAAGTACCCCGAGCAGCTTAACAATTTTAATCATTCGTGGTTAGTAAGTTTGTAGCAGAGAAATTTGTTGTTCAAGTGGAGTTGCTGCTGCTTCCACGGTTGTTATTGTTGCTGCTTCATAAAATTTATGGCCTCGTACTTTAAAAAAAGAAATTTTAATTGGTAAATATTAATTTAACGAAAATGCATGTGTAGAGAGGCAGCAATTTCAAATGAGTTACCTTTAATTCGTTGTCATGAGAAATTCTGATATCGACTCCTTCAAAAATCAATTAGAAATGGAAAAGAGCAACAGCAAAATAAACTCTATTTAAGAAACAATGAATTAAAAAACCTGTTTCATTTCTACAGATTTTTCTTCAAACCATCAAAAACCAATGGAAACTCAAATCAAAGATGAATGATGCAGTCATTAAAAAGGAATGACTCAAAGTGTGACAATATTTGAAAATAAATTCAATTTGTATTTCCCCCGATGCATATGGGGCTTTATAAAGAGCTTTTTCAGAAACCTTGCAAACCGTGGTGAAATATTTGGTTCGCATTGTTCCTACAAAAAGTTCACCGTTTTTGAATCCAAAGTTACGTAAGGCTCGGGAAAAGCCTAGCTCCAGTTGATACCTTCAGCGAAAACTCGAGAAGCTTATATGATACAACTTGACTGAAAATGTTGTTTATAGTTGGTAAAAAGAACAGCCTGGAGCTTTGGCAATGTAGCAGCTGTGATTTAAAAGATCAAATCCGAATAGGAGTCATTAAACATAAACAAACAACAGAAAGAATGGGAAGCAAACAAAGCATGCAACTTGCCTACGATGAACTCCGACGGCACCACGTTCAGCTGCATACCCCCTCCCTGGAAACCAATAATTACAGTTGAGATATAACCAAACATCATTATTAGAAACATAAAAATGCTTTGTATTAAAAAAACAAATTGAAGAAGTAAAAGTATAAAAACTCTTTCAGTAGCGAATTTAAAGCTAGAAACACTTGCAATAATCTTCAGTTTCAAAGACTAAAAAAAATTTTGCGGCAGACAAAATATAGAAAAACAGACTTAGAATAATATAACATATCACTGTAAAATCAAGAATACAAAGATTCAAAAAGAGTTATTGTTTAACGCTTCTTCAAACTGATGATAAGTATCCATGGAAACGCATTTATCCATGGAGATGCCATTTCATCGGAAGAATGCAAACGCAAATTAAACACTTGAGATCTTCCGGGGAAAGGAGGGGGGGGGCACTCCCATACTTAACCTAACGGGATATGCCGCGGGACAGGGTATCATTTTCCGATAAAAATTATGGAACAGGGTATTATGGAGATCTGGTAGATTTTGGCATATTTGTGCTGTATTTTGGCATACGTTTTAAGGGAGAGGGTATGCATTTGGCAATTATTCATGGGACAGGTTTAAAGTGAAAGAAGATTTTCCGCACACCCCCTCACATTCCTAGTCAAGAACACCACCCCCCTCTCCCCGGTGGTGCGACCTTAACCAGGAGAGCAGAGGAAATCGAGGAATTGATTTGAGAATAATCAGAATAAAAGAGAATACATAGCAGAATGGAATTTCACCTGAATCAAGTTTATATTGCAAGTAGTCACATCTCCAAGATGTAGACAAGACCCTTTTTCAAGTCTGGTTTAAAAGCAAAGCAACATATATTATGTTTATAAAAACAAAAGCCAGTTGTTCAAATTTCATTACATTAAAAAGGTGAAGTGAATCAGAATAAAGACTGCCAAAATGAATAAAGACACTATGTTCTGACGTTTTAAACTCTGAAGAGTGTCAGACGATAAGCTTTAGTTTACTAAATGTTTGCTTTTTTCAAAGCCATTTTCATGTTTATAAAAGCTCTGTTGCTTATATATTTTCGTCCAATTATATTTTCCAAGAAACATCCGACTGGGAATTAAAAACATCCGATATCATGTCACAACGACAAAGTGGTACATATAAAAATCTTAGTGAATCTTTCATAAATTTAAATACAAGTGCTAGAAATCTTCCAAAGGAATAATAAAGTTATCTGGTCTACAATTAAATAAACAAATGAACCAGGAAAGAGGGCACGTGCTAACACGTGCCCAAGAGGGCACGTAAAGAGGGCACATGCCCAAGTCAAATTAATTTACTTCAATAGCGCCTAACCATTTTAATAAAATAATATCAAAATAATACGATTGTTTACCTTGATTTTTCACTGTTCCTGTATTCCATTATTTGATTAACAATCTTTTGCTACATGTAAAGAAAAGAAAAGGAAGAGCTTGAAAAAATTTTTGTCAAGACATTTTGTCAGTATATTGTTTGCTATCATTATGCGTAAAATTGGAACAAGAGCTTCTAAAGTTTAGCAGAAAATATTCAAAGCTTTGTGACGAGACGTTCGTCCCACTTTCCATTGATTCTAAGGGAATTAAAAGACCTTGCTATACAAGGACATATATCATGCCAAACTTCGATTGCAGATTGCTCGATTGTAGATCTCAATTCCCTGTAAACTTCACGGCTATTCATTCTCTCTTCAAAATATAATGTCTTTTTGTTAATCAAAGGTGCAAAATGTTGAATACGGGCACTATGAACTTTCATATAACAAGAACCCTAATTTTATGTTGGCATTATTTAAATGCTTGTGTTCTTGATTATTGGTGAACATTCGGTTTCGACACACAGTGAATACAGCTTTCCTGCCTTTGGTAGTAAAAATGAAGAAAGAATTGATAAGTTACCACTTTCTCGACTGCAATATTTTCAATGAATCTTGAACCATGTCCAGGGTTTCCTGGGCAAGTTATTTTAAGCCCTAGGGGAAAAAAATTTTCTCAGACAACTGAAACTTTTCAAGGTAACAACAGCTGATTTAAACTTCTATCCAATTAATGACAAATTAAATGCATTATCAAAAGCAAGCATAGCAAATTACCGGAGACTAAAATATTTTCGATTTATGACAAACTTATGATGGTAAATTTATGACATGGTGAATTTAATGCCAAAAAACTCTACGTTGGAATACGCAATGATTATGGCAATTTAAATACGTTCCAAACAGTTGTGTGCAAACCTGACAGAACTGCAGAAAATAACTGCAATTATCAAAATTAGTTACTTGCGAGAACATAAACAAGTCTAAAAAAACACATCTAAAAGGTGCATTGGGCCACGCATCTGTTGTTACCATAAAAAGACATTGCTACTGTTACGCAACTTTACGTTGCCTCAGGCTTAATATGTTTTGCGTATTGATATCTACTACAGGCATTGAAAAAGTGCAATTGAATGGAACTAAAAGCATTCTAACATACACCACGTGGACCTTTGTCCGTAATAGACCTTGAACTCTTCAGTTGGGTTTGCCAGGCCTTGAAAAACAAGGAAAAACGAATTGAAAACTGTTATCGCCACCATCAAAGATATCTAAACATTCGTATTTGTGAATTTGAAGTTTGATTCACTTTACTTCGGTGACTTCCTCAACGAGAGTTTGGTTGAACAACGTAATTAGATGTCCAATCGTGCATTCATTTGTACATTCATCTTTCATACAATTGATTCATTTTCTTCTTCCACCCTCTCCGTAGAATTCATCAATCGATCAATATTTTTCCATCAACTGATACAAAAGTTAACTCATAGAATCTTCTGCTGTTAAGAAGAATCCAAGATTGATAAAAAGAATAATAACTAAGATTGATCCAAATCCCTTTGGACTTAAACGAACCTTCATCCAAGCCAAAACCAACATTCATGTCTTTGAAGTCTTGACTTTCAAGGAACTTTTGCATGCCAAGTTTGCCACCAACTTCTTCGTCTTTTATAACAAAAGATATATCGTAATAGTTCTAATTTCAAGCTTGAGGTATAAAGTTTTTAAAAGAAAACAGAATGAAAAGAAACAGCCCTATTCAGGGATCACGCATCCAACTCTTTGAATCTCCAAAACAGCCTTTACATTTTGATATGATAGCCTATAAAACGTCTTGAACAAGTAGAAACAGTTTAAAAAAAACTTAGAAATACCTTTAAACCGTTTAAACCGTAACAGAAATGTTCAGTTACGTAGAATGATAATCTTAATAGGTGTTTAAAAAGTTCACCTGGCATGAAGGACAAATAAATCGTTCTTGGGAAAGATTTTCCTTCAGCTTCAAGTCTCCTTATTGCCTCGAGGTACCTATTAAAGTACAGTAAACATAAAGGCGGTTGCATTTGTAAACAGGAAGCAGAAGGTTTATCAATAGGGTACCTGATAACTAATAGGAGTCAGTTCAAAGATGGTCACAAGCATAGCGAAATCAGGGAGTTGTTATCTAAAGGAACCAGACAGCTAAATGGAATAATTGAAACTATATTGATTGACTTTATCAAAAGTCTTTATCAAATCTTTGGTCAAATGTGTCTGATGGTTTATAATCAAATAAGACCATCACCTTATTGAAATTTTGAACAGCTGCATTTGGCAATGCTTTAACAGGTGCATCTGGCGGACAACGATACTCTCAGTTTGAGATATGACTAGTAAAAACAACTTCTGAAGATTTGCAAAAAAATGAATAAGATTTTTGCACATTTATCTTCAATATTTCAATTCCAAAGTTTAAATGAAGTATTGTCGAATGGGACAGGGACGTCTCCTCCATGGTCAGGAAGTTTGCATCTCAGAGAATCTATTATAAGTAAACGTTAAGCCAATGACAAAACCAAGCCAAAGAGAATATTCAGGGAGTTGCCCTCGGAATCCTCTGACAAATTTTGCACGATTGCCCCAGCCCCCTTCTTGCGATCTTGGCTATGCTACTGCTAAAATGGTTAAGAGGGTTTGAAACGTTAAAGTTGTGCTTTAGTGAGATAACTTGAGGGAGCTCATAAAGTGAAATGTGGATATGAGAATGCAGCAACTTACTGTATGCCCACTGACTTCATATCCTAAAAAACAAATGGCTACTGGATAAGCCCGAGAAAAACAAAGTGTACAAAGTTCATATACCGCAAGTCCTCGAATAAGCCCCCACATTCGAATAAGCCCCCATCTTAAAGTACTTTTGTGAAATAGGCCCCACCCGCGAATAAGCCCCCATGAGCCGAGATATTGCCTCGATACCAATAAATCTGCATTTTTAAGCAAACTGAACAGCCTCGAATAGAACATAAAAAATTTGTCCTGGTACTACTTTTGGCTGCTGCTTAATAAGCCCCCACTTTCAAATAAGCCCCTTTGAATAAGTCCCCATCTAAGTTATTTTTAGCAAAATAGGCCTCTGGGGGAATATTCGAGGACTTGTGCCATAGTGTTGATTTTTGTCAAAGCATCGGGCTTTATTCGGTCTTCAGCGTTCTTCTAATTATTAAAAACATCGCACTAGAGGAGTCAGGTTAGTGAAGGGGTATTCTGGGGGGTATTAAGGAACTAATTGGTACAGGGGGCAGGGGTTGATATGTCGTAAAAAGAGTTCAAAGAAATTGAGATACGATCTGTAATAATTAACAAGAATTGTCAAAAAAGAAGTTGTTTATTTGATTAAATTGAGAAGTATTCTGAAGATATTCTGGAATTGTACAATTTCATATAGTTGTGATGTGTGAGTAAACAATATGAAATAGTTAAGAATAGCACTTCTTTAGCCACGAAGATTAAAAAATTGGAATGGTCACACAGCTATCTTGCTCTTATTGCCACTACCTTTGAATCCTTACTTAAGCTATTCGAAAAAATCTTTCTCAGTCAAATTCTTTTGGGGCCTGTTTAGGGCCCCTAAGACTTAGGGGCGTCCTTATTCACTCTGACCCTGACATTAGTCTAATATGCCACTGAGGGGAACACGGATCTCCAAACTCAAACTCATTTATTATCACTCAACAGCTTAAAAAGCATTTCATAACAATTTAAAACCATCGCTTGAAATCAAAAGCTCTGACCTTAAAATAGACAATTATAGCTAAATAGTTCTCCCTTTTTTCTCCATCATTCCTCAATACATCAGTGTTTATCGATGTGATTCTGAAATCCCTATGTAACAACTATGTAACGCTTCTATGTAACAACTGCAACGTACCTGTGTGCCCCTTGCGTAAATATCCCCATTCTCTTCTTTTACAGCAGCAAAAGGGTCGTATTTCCAAAATTCCTTTGGATAAAATTTTGATATTATCATAATTGTTAACGCAAAATGCACTAGCTAATATAACACATGACAGCAAAATCTAAAATATTAAACTACTAGCAGAATACATTAAAAAAACATATCCTGCAACAACGAATGGACAAAATGAATCAATCAAAATTAAGAAGATAATAGTCTTAGCTTTTATAATATAAATAAATTCCTAATTTTGTAAAGAGTTTAACTCTGGCTAAATATATTTTAAAAAAATACAATTTTATTCTGATACCATCTTGCAGTCTGTTCTTTTTTTCTGTCTGCCCCAACTGTCAATAATTAATTACTTAATACAAGAGTTGCGAAAAAAGATACTTTGCTTTCTAAGCAAAAGTGAATGGTTTTGACATTTGACATCAGATCTAGAGCAAACTTGAAAAAGGGCCTTTTTCATTGGAAACAAACGTACACGTTGCGTGAAACCAAGTTGAAACAAATTTGCTCGATATTGAACTGACAATTTTTCTAATGTACGAACAGGTAGTTCTACCCTTAATTTCGATGGAACATCGCAAAAATTTAGCAGTCAATAGGAGTACCTTGTTTCAAATTGTTAGGAATATCCAACCATCCCTTCATTAACATTTACGTCATAAAACAGAAATTAAACAGCTCTATAGCATTGATTTTGAAATGACTATATTCTTAAAATAGTTGGGTCACGAAACCATAAAAACATTTTGTGCGAGACAGCCTGCTAGTAAGAGGTATTTTGTTTACCCATCTTCGAAGTGCAGTGTCTTACAAAATGGCCAGGGCGCCTGCGCAAGATCAAGGCAGGAGGGGCAGTGTTGGTGCTGAGGGCAAATAGTAGATTTTATTCCATAAGCGACTATTTGTGAGCGTGTGGGGAATGGGTGCAAAATAAAATATTGGCATGGATCTGTTCCACCCATACAGCTGGGAATTTTGCAATGAAAGACTCTAAAAATAGGCATAATGTTGACAAGATTCTCCATGCAAGTGGGTATTAAATGGCCTTGTCATTATTCGAAATTTTTGGCGTTACGAAAATCATGGCAAATATAAATGGGCTAGCTGTAAGACTTTGATTGTTTGCTTAGCCTCAATACTCCATTGCGTCATTAAGTTGCACAATCATTGAGAATGCAAAAAAGAAAATAATAATCACATTAAGAGCCAGAATGTGACAGAAATTCATATCAAGGTGGTGCCAATCGAAAGGTCGTAATTTCATTTAACTGTTTTGGAATTAGCCTAAAGAAAAACACAAAAATTATAGTTGTAAAAAGCAAAAAAGATGTCATTTTCCCTCCCTTGAACTCTTCAACTACAAAAGGGCAAGCGGTTACAAAACAAGAAACAAATCAACGCGCCACTTTTCCTCTTAGTTTACTTTCGATATGTACTTTCCATCAGCACATGAAAATAAATCCATGTATATTTTTTCTGTTATTATTCAAAGTTTTATATCTTCAGGAAGCTGTATCAAAGGCTACTTTTTGAGGGGCTATATCACAATCGTAGGAATAAAATCCGCTAACTCGCGAACAGGAGGAAAATGAACAGGAATTTCTTTGTCCGACACCACTCAAAGCAAAAAATGTCAGAAGATAGCGATAAACAAGACATTCCTAAAGTCTACCGTTGTTAAATCTGCAAGGCATTCGTACTACTGTAAATATACGCTAAGAAACTAAATGAAACGATATATTTAGGTTTAAATAGATATTAACGTAAGACAAAAAATGGCACGTTTGATTGTTTCCCTTCTTCCTTTTTCACTCTTTCTCTCGCGTTACTTTCGATCCACAATTTTCCGCTTTTTGAGCCATTTCGAAACCTTTTCAATAATTAATATTCCGTGAAATGTTGACATAAAACAGTTTCACGTGTTAATAGTTTAGAAACCAAAAAGCATCAACTATTCAATAGTAAACTTGCTCACTCGCTATAAAACGGCAGTATGTGTTTAGGAAAAGGTTTAAAGTGAGCACGGAGTAACTTTGAGAAATCTAATGGTTTAGGACTATGAATTTTGAACCTTATAAAATAATGACAACCTTAAAGACATGCAGAAACCAATCATAAGCCAATCCCCATTCTTTTAAAGCAAACTCTAGTTTTACCATGAGATACTATGCCAAAAAGGGACGTCATGAGACACATGAAACGGACAGCCCTCTTCCCCTAAAAACTGGCTTGAAAATACCGATAACTTACATAGGTTTTTCTCTGGCACTTGAATGGTTTGTGACACAGTACTACACAAACCTCAGGCACTCGCAAAATTAATCGCTGGGAGAGCAAGACCAACTTAAAAGCAGGAAGGAGTAGGATCAAATTATAATTTATAACCCCTTGATGTCTCCTCGGCCTTAAAGCCACAACGAATCACAGTACAATAGAGCAACTAATTATCATTGTAGTTTACCTGGTACACAGGGACAACATCGGTATGGCTGTTTAGAAGAATAGTTGGAAGCGTTTCATCGGTTCCTTTCCATTTCAGTACTACTACGGGTTTTCTTGGATGAACCTGACATGAACAATAAAAACAGCATGACTGGAAATCTTGATACAAGCGTGAAGATTTCCTAAACAGCTGTGAACGATTTTCGGGTAAAAAGATTCAAGGATTATTTCAGACATTGATTGCTTCTGCTTGCAAAAAAATCTGACCTTGCTACGCCCCTTGAAGCAAAATTAAAAATGTTTGTTATATTTGATTGATCTGCTAGTTAATAAATTGGAAATTCGTAAGCTTTAGATAAACGAAGAAGCTTCAGTATACTTGATATTGAGTTAAACAACCGAAGAAAGAAGTCATATTTACTTCAACACAGTGAAATTCCAGTCCAATTTCCTTTGCTACTCTATTCAAAAATACAACGGCAGCATCTGAAAGGAAGAATAATGCGTGATGGGTGTTTAATGCCTACTGCAAAGTGTTTAACTGCATCCTTATTCCTTGAAACTACTGCGACTGAAAGCATTCTTTCAAACTCCACAAAAAACAAACAAATGAATATTGTGACAAGATAACGAAGGACAAAAATCTAATAATTGCAAATTTCTTAAACATAATGATAGAAATATTTAAAGTTTATTTAATTTTGCTTTTTAGCTAGGGACGGGCGGTAGATGACAGACCGAATTATGAGCAATTGCACAATACCAAAACTTTTATTGTTCTTCTGCATAAGCTGTTTAGCAACTTTCCTACTTTATTCATAGAAAAAAAACTTTATTTCAAATCCTATGGCCACAGCAGTTGAATTAAGCCATTAACTACGATTGTTAAGATATTAATTGAAACAATATGCGTGCAGTTTTCTTATCTTTGACGTTCTTTTAGTCATCGTGCAAGATTTCAAAAAGCAAGATTTTTAGTATTCGAAGGCAAAATGAAGTTACACGGATAATACTTTGGGGATAAGTGTTTAATCGTGGATACTTTTCGTGAAGAAACATCTACAATGCTGCTCGTCAGATGTAGAAATTCTTTTTTCAGCGGAAGGGGTCAAAATCTCAAAAACACGCAAATCTACCGACAAAAGACAAAATTTACTGACAAAAGCGCTGAAAACCGTGTTCAAACTGACAATGTAGCAAAAGCTTGGGGCTCTTTGCACTTTACATCCTCGCAATTCCCGTCCCTGGTGCTCGTGAAATTATACTTAAACATTCGCAGACAAGCAGCTCTACAATAAACGCAAATAACCTTACACCACGTAAATTGCCAAGGAGGTATTAAAATGTGGGTATTAAAAAGATCAGTTGTATATGGCAGTGCCTTCGGAATAAAAGCCCTGATATTAAGGAAATAGAAAGCTAGACGCAGGTAAGGGTTAGACAAGGGTGTAAGTTAAGTCTGTGATTATTCCGTGGAGTGCATATGTATGGCGGCGTTGAATCTCCTGCCTGTTCTTTCGCAGGTGATATAGTAATAGATATAACCATTCTCTGACTTTAACCATGGGATCCGACGCAGGTTGAAAAGTGGAGGAGCCAAGAGAAAGTGTAACAATCATAACAAAAGTTTTTTTAAAAAAGCTCTATTGTTTTGCAAAAAAGTGAGGGGGCCATGCCCCTCCCCCGGCCTTCCCTTCGTCGGAGGCCCTGTTAACCATATTTAGTTATACTATACTTTTTCATGAAATGTTAAATAATTTTAAGTGAAATTCTCTGTGTAAATAAATTGAAGTTAATTTCCTTTAATGTGTATGCATAACATGTTATTATAGCATTGGGAAAATGGTTCTCTTTTAGCATTCCCTAACTAAACAATGTCCTTGATTTGTATATTAGGATAGTAGTCTGCAGTGTATGCAATAGGGGCAGTCGGAAAGGGGGCCTCCCTTCGAACCGGGATCCAAGCCTCCCATAGACTTTATCCAGCCCTGAAAAGAATAAAGATACTGTGACCTGTTCTTCCTTATATCATTGCAGAGTTGTCTGGAACATGGGACTGGGAAAGGGGTATAAAACATTTTTTTAATTTTGGAAAATCCCCTTTTACTTTAAGCGTTTCATTTTTACAACTCTTGAACAGTGATTATCATAAAGCTAAAAGTCCATTGCTTTCAAAACAGGACATACTTTACTGTTGGGTTGGTCTTTTAAAACTTCTGAAAAGAAAATTTGTGATAAGAAAGCGCAGAAGTAGTTGCTTGTCAACACCAGATAATTTTTTTTGTTTCTTCGCTGAGAGAGAAGATAGAAAAACTCAAAATATGACTTGAAACTTGTTCCAAAGTCAGTAGTGAGAATATTCTACAACAGTACGTGGTTAAAATATGTATCAACGCAACGGGATTCTACTGTAAACTTCTTTTTTGGGTTACTGTGCTTTTACTCAATTTACAGTAATTGCACCAAAGACAGCCCTGTTGTGTAACCATGAAACAACCCAACATCGTGTATTTATTAGCATCTTGAAGTCGTTTGCTGTGACAAAATTTCACTCGAATTGAGCAATTGCTGCATATTACCAATACCATTCTCCTTATTCCTTTTCTAAACAATGTTTAATTAATGAGAAAGCAGTGTGCTATGCCACATTCTCTGTAAATAGACTTCGCTGACCTCTAACTCAAGTCTACAGATCTGATACCGAATCAGAATTTTCATATTATCTAAACGCTAAAGAAAGCGGCAATTTCTTTCTAGTTCTTCGTTAAGTGATAGCTGTTATCGTCTTCCTTCAGTGATTCTGCGAGATTTTGGGCTGCGTTGCACCAAATTTTTTTAGATGAGAGGAACAAAACAAGTGTATTTATAGTTCATCATTTTTTTCTGGCAAAAGTTTCTTTGTACGCAATCTTTCCTCAACTTCTAAAAATAGTACTTTGGCCGTATCTAAATTCCCTATCTTTCCACATTTACCGCAAAAGTTTCCAGTGCGTTTATTTTTCTCTGTAATCGCACACTGGGTCACCAAACATAACCATTTTAGTACCGACAATTTACTCAAATTTTTGTGCCGCAAAGTCGCTGATGACATCACTGAAGTCTAATTCACGCAGTATATCTGACTCGATGTTCCTTATTTTCAAGTCCATTCTACTTCAAGGATGCCCATAATCAGTTCTCAACAAATTGAGTTTAGAGAAGAAGCTCTCACAATGGCAGTTTGATACCATCCATAGCCACAGGAGACACAAGGGATTGGGAGCCCCTCCAATGCCTCCCCCCTCCCCCCCCCAAATCAGGCAAATTTCAGGCCAAATTTGGGAAGTTCTGCCTCACTGAAGCAAAATATCAGAGCAAGATCCATGCTAAGACCCCCCCCCCCCCCCACTAAATGTCTAGCATCTGCTACACCGATGACACCATAAAAATGTAGAGCACTCACAATATTTGGAAAAATGCCTTGCATACCCCTGCACACCCTTGTCTATGATAAGTCTGTACAGAAAATCTTCAGCGCTAATATCTTCTGGCTTCTCATATGTGAAGATATCGGCAAATTTTACAAATGGGAAACAGTTCAACAATAAATGTAATGCCCAAGCCATCTTGATATGACTTGACTCTGCTGCCATCTGAGACGCGTCTGAAGGCACTTGAAAGTTTAAGATGACCAAAAGAGCTAAATTGGTTTTTTATTTCTTGTTTTGCTCACAGAGGTTGGTCTAGAGAAGTGATAAACTATAAAATTTTAGAGCTTCTGCCTTTTGATACAATTCTAATTAAAAAACCTTTGTTACTGACTTGACTATATATAATATGTGTTTAGTGATGTCTGCCTGGTGATAGTTAGTCTTCTATAAAAAAATTAAATGCCTATATTGGTGGGAGGTTTGTACAGAGTCATGCAGAAATTTTAAGACTCAAATTAATGTAGACTTCATAAAATGAAAGATTACTAGCAGTACAATTATCAATCAGTTACTTGAAACCATAAAGTTATTTATTGATTATGTTTATTTGGTAAGCTATTCCAAATCTGAGGGCCAAGTTACTACATGTTATTAGGCAAAAATTTCACTTCCTATTGCAAGAAGCTGATCAATATTGTCAGTGTCATAATATACAGATCTTTGAAAAGAATGAGGTTCAATACAGATCTATGAGGCACTACTAAAAAATCATAATGGCAGCCATTATCTATTATCTGTGTGGGAAACTTCAAGTATGATGTTATAAGTGGGGACCTTTTCATGCCTAGCCTAGCTATTTGAAAATTATTCAGAAATTCGAAGCACCTAAAATGTAATTGATGTTTTTCTGGGACCATCTGTTGTCTAGCATCATTAGCAGGACATGTTGTGTGCATTTTGCACCCCTTGGATACTGATTTTTACCCAAAACCTATCATTATGCATGCAACCATACACTAAGCCGTGCAAAACTGCAATGGCACTTATATGTCTTCACATATGCAAACACCAGGACTGACCATATTTTTCTATATTTTGGTTTTATTGGTCCTTTATCACTTTTTATGCACTTTTGGAAAATATATCTAAATGCCAAAAAGATGAAAGTTACTTCCTTTTGGCTCAACCAAATTTACCTGTGGCAAAGAGGTCTATTCAATACCAAGAGATGCCAACCTTTTTTCAGGCTTAAGGTAACATGATTTTGCAAGAAAAATGGATACCTTAAGGGCAAGATGTTTTGGGGTATTTCATCTCCCAATTTGACTTTTTGCACTCACCAATGAAAGATCCTCAAGGAGCTCTATAAGTCATTATTTTATAAAAATCAAATGGGGGTAGAATCATCAGTGTTTCTAATGTCTTAAAAACTGATTTAACTGCATTTTTACTCTCTATAATGGAATGATGTCTAGTTCACTAGTTGGCTTTTTTCACTAACTTTAATAACAATATTGGTAGTGGCTTTTAAAACCTTTGAGCAGAGTTGCATCAGAACCAGTGGCGGACACTTGGGGGGGGGGGCGAGGAGGTGACCGCCCCCCCAATACTTTAGAGAATAATGGTCTTTTGTTCTAAAACAATTGGAAATGTGACGTCATCTTATTAAAACAATAGGCTTGCCCCCCCAATATTTGACCAAGTGTCCGCCACTGATCAGAACCTGGAAACTAGATTCCAAGAAAGTTTTTGGCTTGGCAGAAAATTTTTAGCAAAACTTGATAAGAAACAGCTGTTTCTTGCAATAACAAGAATTTACTTCTTGACTTTTGAATAACATATCAAAAGTTCATACAAATGTAAGCCCTTTATAAAAGCTATTAGTCATTTGTCAAACATCACAAACGAATTGTATAACTGGGAAGCAACCTTAAGCTTCCTTGTTCAAGAATTTTTTTACAGATAATGCTGCAGAACTGAAGTAGGCAATTTATGTGCTTTGAAAAGTGATTGTTTCTGTTGCCTTATATCAGGCTATGCTTTTGGATCTTTAAAGATAAGATTCTATGAGAATTACGTGCATCCTCAGTTTTCTTCCTGCTAGCAATACTATACTTGACTTAAGTCTTGCCTGAGGCATTGGCAGAGTTGGCAAAGTCTTGTGTCTTGATTGAGTTCTTGAGAGACTTGGCAAAGCTTGTGATTGATATTAAATTACATCCTCGTGTTCTTTTGATTCTTATTTTCCCTTATCTTATCTGTCACCATTTATTAATATAAAAATCATATTGACATTTGAACCCATTATATGAAATGAAAGGCCGGTAAATTAGACTCTGGTTAAAGTCAAACCAAATGTTGCTTGAAAATTTGTGACTGTAAATGGAGTGTGACTGTAAGCGGAGCTAAGTTGAAAAGCTTTGCATATCTTGGTCTAAATTTTATGTGACTGCAATGGGTAGTGTGATTTCAACAAGGGAAGTGACTATAAGCAGAGTCAACTGTTCTAAAGCCAGATTCAGATTTACCTAAAGTACCTTTCCCAAATGTTGAAGTTTTCTTCCATTCAATAAACATATCACCATTTGGTTCACAAATCAGTATTACTTATTTGCATATATTCAGTCTTTGCAAGAGATAAAAAAGCTGCAATAAACAACCAAATTATGATATTTTATGTGAAGAATTCAGACCCAATAAATTTGATGCCTTGTGTAAAAACTTTTGTGTTACTGTTGGTATAGCTTTTGTACACAATACTTTTACCTTAGAACACTTTTGTCCTGTTTCCCAGGTTCACAGAAAGGAAAATATTTTTTGGAGCTTTGCCTTTGAGTTTCAGTTCAGTGCTTCCTTTATATCAGTTCATAACCAGAAAACACCAACAATGAATAATGGTAGAATAAAGACTGGTCAAATAAAGCCTGGTAACAAACCATAATCTGGATCTGGATGAACAGTCTTTATTCTTAAGTACTCTCGAAAGAGAGTGACTGCACTGGCCTCCCCGTCTACTCCTTTGTGTTTGGACGTCTCCATATTTGACTGCAGGGTAAGATTTCTTTTCAAGGTCACAGCTGCGCCTACGCAGTACCTCAATTTCGCCGCCCAGCTCCCAGGGCCTTGACTACGATTTCTTCCTTTCACCAAAATCGGGATTGAAGCCTTTAGTACATGGTAGGCCATTCTGCGGTGGTATAGACAACAACCAGCAATGGGTACTTGCATAAAGCAGCGGCATAAGTTATAAAAACCTTCTCTGATTGGATAAATTTCTTTCTTGACCTACTATTGTTGGAGAGGCCACCTGTATTTGGAAATAACAAACCACAGTAAGTTCCAAGAATAATGAATATTTATGGACTTTAGAGGGGAAAAGGGGTCTGTGCCTGCCAGAAGTGATTTAATGACCCTGTCCTGGAATAAAATTCTGAACAAATGATACCTGTGCTGGGATAAACTTTCAAAAACATGATACCTGAAAACATGATATCTTCAATTGGCTTACCTGGGCTGGAAAACAAAAGGAACAAAAGGTATAATAATGGCATTCTAAGTAGAGAATGAAACCCTGATTGTAGGCACATCCCCGTGCAGTGAACCCCCAAAGAATTGAGGACACACCTTGCTAAGGAAATTTGTTAAATTACTCAAAAACGTTCACAAGCCATATTTGAGCATCGTAAATGAAATCAAAACTATTCTTAAGGAAAAGGTTTTCCTTGTGAACGCACACTGACAACTTTTTTGCTTCTTTGTTTCCACCAACTCTCCGCATCCCCTCCCCTCCTTACACAAAACTTCACTTTTAATTTCGCCTGAATTTGCCACCACTACACCAACAAAGGCCTGACTATGGGCTTGTTTTATAAACTTCAAGAGCTAAAATTCTAACTGTCTGGAGTTATTCTTTGTACGAAGATGAATAGTCCGAATAGGCTAGTCGTAATGCCCTCTTGTTAATATTCGCTAATTCATCCTGACTTCTTTTACCAGGCGCCGCGGAGGAGGGGGCTGGGCGACTTTAGCCCCCCCCTACTTTTTGCAAAAATGCTAATTATTAAGTAATAAACTAACAGTAAAGCCTCTTTCCATGCGGTTTTAGCCCCCCCCCCCATTTTCCATGTGGTTTTAGCCCCCTTTTTGTCAACGCTCCACGGTGCCTGTTTGCCACATAACATCCATATCAATGAGCAATAATTGAAGTGACATAGTATCATGAACATCTTTTTCTCTCTGTCGTCCATAAATAAGGTACTAAAGCGGACAAAGTGACCATATTTCTTTTCCGGGAAATCCGGAAGTTGGACTATACTTACCCAACTTGTAACTGTGGTGGCGCAGTAGTGATCGGTGGCGCGCTGAAAATTCAAAATGGACGAGGAAGTGAAAACAGCAAGAATGGATAATACTGCCGTTTCCAGCAAAGAACAGGCAAGCATTGTCGATTGCCTGAAAAATCTAGTAAGCTGAATTTTAAAAGAAGCTTTTGGCGCTAATGCACTGACTTATTTCTCAGCATCTATGCGTCATTTTTTATACAAATAGAGTTTGAACTTTGATGTTGCTTTCCATGTAGAAATAAACCACATCAAGGTTAACTACTGCGATTCATGGGTTCCAACACATGTTGGAAATGTCCCATGTAATTGGAAGAAAATTATGCGACCGTGCCTCATAGAATATCTGCTTAAGATATAACTATGAAAATTGGTACTCTAACTAAAGTGATTCTACTCTTAATGTAAGTTTAAAACTTCATACAAAAATTATTACATGGAAATGTCGGTGGCAATTTTTAGGGTGTGGCAGAGCAATTTTGTAAAATTTGATAATAATATTAAAAACTCAAGAGTGATTCTGCATAAGGCTAAAAATCAAATTTTCGTATTGTATGCCCTAGATTTGATCAGCATCTCAATGTCAACCTTCTTTCAGCAGTCATCCATTGTCAACAAAGTGCCATTGCAAATTCAGCTATTGTCATTGCTAAATACTTGTACCTTACTATTATGTTTTCAAATACTGCCTAACTAGCTTGCTCATTTAATTTCAAACAAAGATAATTATGGAACAATTTTGTCAGTCCCAATACTGGCACTAATTTTTAATAGTGAAGAAGGTATTAGGCGTGTCCTAAACATTAGTGTGAAAACTTGACCAAAGTTTTTTCTTTAAAAGGCTTTTACTAAAAAGCTGTCATTTCAAGAGAAGATTCTTTGGAGATTTGTTCTTCTTGATCATACCCTCTCTGTTGAAAATGCTACCAATTTCACTCATCATGAATTTTTTTAATTGTTGTGATTTTTTCAAAATGCATCATTTTGCAAATTTCACAAATTGAGACATATATAGAAAATCTTCTCGATGGATAGAATCTAGATGAGGCATCTTCCAGACTGGACACAATAATGATAATGACTTGCATGTTTCAAGGAAGCAGCTGAATTTATCACTTTAATGCTCTGGAGTTTCTATTTAAAAGCTACATGGAGCCATTAAATTTGTTTGCTGTTCAATGTTAAGTAGCTACTCACAGGAAAAGATGCCTTTTTTGTTAAAGGAACTAACATGAGATCAATCAACGAAACCTACAAAATTAAAATCAATTTTCAAATCAATTGCGATGTCATAAAAACATATTTTTATAGAATTTATTACTTTTGACCACATAACCTAAAAGAACACCATGAAATACTTCTAAATATGAATATGTCAAATATGTCAAAATCAGTTAAATATGTCAAAATTGGGTGGCTTGGTTTGAATATGTCAAAAATAATAGCTGCTTTTATTTTGGCTTAAAGATGTGAAGAGGGGTTAAATTAAACTGAATGGAGAAACGTTTGGTGGGTATGGACATTTTTCAGCCAATTTCCAACATAGTTATCTGGTTTTGCACAATTAAAGGTGTCTCATAAAGTTCTTTCAGGTTATTTGATTCAAATTCAAAAATTATATATGTTAATTTTTGCCATTTTATCACTTTGAAATTCCATACCAGTTACTTTTAATATAATGTCTTCTTGTGAGGGACAAAAAGAAGACACTTGACAAGTTGAGTGCCTTTGACTTTCTCAGTGCTCATTTGAGCACAAAGGGAAAAAATTAACTCATCCCATTTCTTGATTGTGTACATCTATTGATTCAAAGTCTGTTTGCAATTCAGTTTACAAAATGGAAAAACAAATATGTTGCCAAATATTATCAAAAATCATCACTAGCAAATATGTTTCAGAATTTGCTTTTAGACAGCAAGAACTCATTAGGTGCTTGATCAACTGGGCTTCAAGAACTTTCTAGGCATGTGTGGAAGCACATCATCAAGCTCAAACTCCTTGCAAGGGCTGCTTATAATGGCACTTTTTATGACCAAAACTAAATCTTCAGTTGTCAAGGAACCAAAGATAGTGTGAATTAGCAAAATAATCATTTTTTCATGAATGAAACATATTTAGCCTTAAAGGGAAGTGTTTTTACATACAGATAAAGGTTGCTATTTTTAGATGTTAGATGAGAAAACAAAGGATGACCAGAAACCATTTTGCAAGGCTTTCAGGTATCTGTTTATTTATTGATAAGAATCTTTTCCTTCAGTCTTTATTCATAATTTGATTACACAACTAATTTAACTTAACATCATTTTATTAAAAGCTTTGACATCAACTGATTAGGTTTGAATGGTGAGTGTAATTGGTATTCTAAACAGTAACAGGTAAAATATAAAATAGAAGAATTCCAAAGTGCAATGTTGAAGTTCACATTTATTGGGAAAAGGATGGCTTCATAAAGATTTACTTTAATTTAGAATTTCAAATTTGATCACAAAGTCTGTAAGAATACCATTGGATATCCTTAAATGTCAAAAAGTTAATTGGTTGCAAATTGCTTGTGATACAACTTAGAAAAAATAGCAACTTAGCAACATAATATTAAAAGTTAGCAATATTAAAGAAGTGAACCTGTATTGTAGTTTTATTTTTATGCATGTTCTCCATCATTGTCTATATCTATATTGATTATTGTATAAATATGAATTTATTTTCATGTTCATATTTATGTTCATTTCTAAATGCTACTTTTGTTGGTCTGTAGAACAGGATTGTTCTAAGTTGTGGCAATGATTTACATGCTTCACGCTTAATTCAATGACCAGGGAAAGTGCTATCTGTTGTTTAATAATTCAAAGATATTCTAAAGGAATTAAGCTTGTATTTTTATATACATTTTTATATTTTTTGAGTTTATTCTGTCACCAAAGTTAATTTGTGTTTGTTAATTTTTGTTTTATTGAAGGAAAACAGGCTTGGTGTACGATGAAAGGATGCAAAAGCATTGCAATGTGTGGGAAAAGTATGCATCACTGCATTACAGTATTTCTTCAATCAAACACTTCTTTTTAATTTTAAAATTACAAATTACAAATTTTAAAATTACTTTGAAAAAAGCAAACATTTTCCAACATACTAAGGTTTTTTGTCTGACACTCTTCAGAGTATCAAATGTCAGAAGCAGCGTTGAAAAAGGTCAAGCTGGAAAATATATAATTATATTATAGTGAAGTATCAACTTCAATGACAACATATTTCATAACTGGCATAGCCCCGTCTTCTTTTCATCAATTTTTCATCAATTCAGTTTTGGAATCGATCACAATAAAAGTGAAGAAGCTGCTGTTGTGTAAACTCCAGTGGTAATAGACTTGCAGTAATGATTGGGTGAATATACCGGCCATGATCTCTCATTTTTTTATTGGACTATTTCGATTCCACGCTGGGTATTTATTTTCTTTCTTGATTTGTTCGTCTTTATTACTAACGTTTCATACTCTGAAGGGTGTCAGATGAGAAGTTTTAGTATGTTGTGAAATATTCGCTATTTTTAAAGCTGATTCCTAGTTTGCACTTTTGCAGCTAATGGTATACAGACACAGATCTTCTAGCTTGTGTGACACATTATCTGCGGAGATCTTGTATCAATTGTGAAAAATTAGCAACTTGATTTACTACAGCTTTAATCGCTTTTTCCTGGAATCACAGAATAACTTTGATCATCATGTCAAGTGTGCTCAACTGGCTTGTTTATTACAGCTTGCATATGTTGAAAATGGTTGATGTAAAAAGATGAGAAAACACTAATACAAGTTTGCTGTACATATAAATATGAACCATATCCTTAACTGTAAATTACAAAAAATGATTCCCCTCTGTTTTCGGATTCAGCAAAACAGATATGCCCAGCTGATACAAGCGAAATAAGGTTTATAAACCAGTTTTATTCAATGAAATTTTTCAAATTATGCAATCTGCTAGATTTTCTATTTGCTAGGGATCACCCAGAATGCCCACAGAGAATAGAAAGAATTTACCAACAGCTATGTCATTCCGGACTCGTTGAGCGATGTGAGAGAATCAAAGTATGTTGATCATCTTTACAAAATAAACTTTGCATTAGAAAGTGTTATTAATAAAATGTGCGCCTCTTTAAAAATTAGACTGCTCTGATGTTCATTATTCACTGAGATTTAATCAGACATATTTTACTAAATAAAATCAAATAGCTGCTAATCTTTTTTCAGTCGAGATCAGCCACATTTGATGAACTTAACTCAATACACAGGTTTGTAGTTTTCGATCGCTATTTCTGTGTGTCTTTCACGATTCAAAACGTGCCATTACATAGTATCAGTTAGTAGAAAAAGAGGTGTGCCTTTAATCATAATGCATTTAATCAGAGATCGTAGTTCTTTTTGTTGCTGTTCTCACTCTCAGCTGAGATAATCTTCTCACTTGCCAACAATAACAGACAGAGAACGGGTTTTATTGGCATATTTTATTGTTGGCATTTATCTTCTTTTTCAGGTCGTCTTTTCTTACGCAAATTTATAAAAACCAGGATTTGCTGTTTTTGAGAAGGAAATTTTTTTGCTTTAAAGGAAATTCTCGAAACATCACACTTTTAGGACTTAAAAACTGTGTCACTGACATGGTCTCAAAGTATTTTTCACGTTGTATGTCTGGAGAACTCCACTTAAACAAAGGAGCCTTGTAAAGAATTTTAATGAGCAAAGTCTTGAAAATTTTTCCAGACACCTGGTCTCTTTATCTATTACCATATACCGTCTCTCACCCTACTAAAGGCTGTAGGAGCACTTGAGACATCTTTGGTGATGCATTAATCCTGTCACCAATAACCAACAGACCTGCTTTAATCATTTATAGTTTTTTTTTATGATTGAGTCTATTTCATTTTTCTAGTGAGCGACACATATCCGAAATGAAGGAATGCTGTGATAAATCGCCAAGAGAATTGTACAAGAGAGGGGAAGACTTTGATTCTATTTACCTAAGTCAAGTATGTAAACGAAACCAAAATAAATCTAAATTTTCGTTTGTTATATTTGCAGGAATGAATAAGTGGATGATTCTCAAGATACGAGGTCTTGTTTTACTAAGCCATACAGAGGACTTATCAACTTTATTTATTGAAATGATCTTCATGTCATGTTTCAACCTTCTAAGATTTCCTTTCTAAGAAATTTCACAACAATGAATTGGTGGTGAGCAGAGACCTTAGTTTGCTGTTCAATTATTGTTCTACACACCTAAGCTTGTGCAGCTATATCTACCCTGCATTGAGGACTGCAATGCACCCCTATAACAGCCTTTACAAACCAGAGTAGATTTAGATGGCCCCAAACACACCTAAAGAACATCCCACTCCCTTTGGGAATCCATTACTTTCCTTGAATCTTTAGGGATATTCTCGTGCTTCATTTAATCAATGCTGGAGGTCTTTTTAAAAGTAAACTATGCTTTTCTTTCGATAATGTTAGCATGTCTATGAATCTGCCACGCTGTCTGCTGGTTGCACCTTACAGCTTCTTGATGCTGTTCTAACAAACAAGGTAAGAATCAACTGTCAAAGCCTACCCTCATTGCTTGTCTGTATGTTTTCACTTGTTACCAAAATTAAAAAACATTGCACGAGTAATGGTTTTTTGCCATCAAAGAAATACCTTATCATCATCATCATCATCATCATCATCATAGTTTAAATTTACCCTCATAATCAGCTGATGCTCATCCACATTTACTCCGACGAACCCGTGTATGCTGTGATGAAATATTTCTTGAATTAACTTCATTTACAATTTTTTTGTTTCAAACAATTTTCTACAGCTAAGTTTGCTTTTTTGTTCATCAATATGTTTCGGCCCAGTGTTTAAATCTTTTGGCAAAAAAACAGTCGTTGTTTATTTTCATAAGTTTATTTAATTTTGATAACGTAAAAACTGAGGCTTATATCTAACTAACTTTCATAGATCTTCTCAATTTCATTCTGTTTATTTTTCCTCATTTTTAGGTTGACAATGGAGCAGCTGTTGTAAGGTGTACCTTTTTTTCTTCATAATTTGAAGCGTATTTTCTTATTGATGATTCTTGCTCAGTTTTCATACTTCAACGATTTTAAGTTCCTAAACGGGGAAAGAGTTTAAATTTCGCCACTGTTTTTAACACCAACCATTGAATGACCTTTAGGCAATATTTTTTCCTTTTGTAGACCGCCCGGCCATCACGCATTTTCTGACTATCCAATGGGATTTTGCTATTTCAACAACGTAGCCCTGGCTGCACATTTCGCCAAAACCAAATACGGATTGAAAAGGTCAGTTGCTGCGGTCTGTTTGCATTAAATTCTTCTATTTCAGACATACATAAGTGGCCTTGATTCCCCGTATACCAAGATTGTATTTTTTGTTCACTCTACAGATTATTGATTAGGAATGTAGAATCAAAATCTATGCTAAAAGCCAATCTGAATTTGTCTCAGGAACTTGTGTATTATGCCTTTTCCAATTAATGGTTATTTTTATTCTAGCTCAGGGGTATGCAACCTTTTTGGAGACTGGGCCAGATCCTTCAAAATTTTTTTAAGCGGGCCAAAGTTAATGAGAAAATAATGATAATAATGAAAACTCCCATTTTAATTCAGTTACACTACAATTACAAACCTCTCTTTCAACTGCCATTGGTGCGCCCAGTAAGATTCATTCTTTCTGCATTTGTTAACTCTTGTCCAGTCCCTCAAAGATTCTGCTATCCTGTCTTTAAGCAGGATGAATCCGTGACAACAGATAGTGAGCAAATCTTTCCATGTTACCCAGGTTTGATGAAGATATTAGATTATCTAATTTTGAATCGATATGTTTCATTCAATATTTGCGACCCCTTGGAAAATCATCCTTACCAACCAAAAATATTATGATATTATATATTTCATCTCGTGGGCCACAAAATGTCTCATTCTGGGCCGGATTCTGGCCCGCGGGCCGTAGGCCGTCTGGCATTCTGGGCCGCGGATCATTGGCATCTTCCACGTCAGAATCCGTGATGTTCGCCCCCTCTGGTGCGTATAGGGGCGTTATGTAGAAAGGGGACGTAAACAAGAAAGTGGACGCCAATTAACATTTTTTATTTTAGGGTTGGCGTTAATTAGGAAGGGGCGTTAAAAATGAAGAGGGCGTTAAATAGATCAAATACGGTATGCTACGCGCAGAATATAAAGTATTTTACTAGAACTCGCTCTTGTTGAGACGTATGACTCTGCGCTCAGGCTACTGCATATTTGCTCTTAAACGCTACAGGACTTCTAATCAAACTTTGTTAGTGATATTCATAAAAGTCACAAGTATGCGCCTACGCAGCCCCTGATCCTTGTTCAAACTTGCACAGAAAGAAGGGACTAGTTTTCCATTGACAAGACACCCATTTACTACAGACCATTCTATATGATTGAAGTTTGCATTACAATAGAAGGTATGTTATACCGCCTTACTTTTTTCATTTGCTTAAGTACTTATATTCACTCCTATATCCTTTAGAGTGCTGATCGTCGATTGGGACATCCATTGGGGGAATGGAATTGAGAAGATATTTGAAGACGATCCAGAGTATGTGTTCTAAGACTTTCTAGCGACAGTCTGAGAGGAAATTGCTAGAACTTAGAACATAGTCAGTTTGTGAGTTTTCCAGGTTATCCGGTCTTTGGCGAGAACCCCTTCTTGGGATACCTTTATAAAATCCATCAAGCACGTTGCTTGGACGAAGCATCCCCGGCCAATTAGACCCTTTTTCAAAACCTTTTGGATATCTACATATTTGCTTCATCTTTACGTTACGTTACGTTACGTTAAGTTACGTTATGAGATGCAAGACTATGGGGAACCTTCTGGAACCCTCTGCACCGCTGTTTTCCAGCCTTGTTTAAACTCGCATTTTTATGGTTAGCTTTTAGCTACCTATTCAAGATGCTGTGTACCATATCCACAAGAAGCAAAAATTTTGTACTATTCTTTTATGATTAGAAAGCAGTGGGCTCGAGCGTAACTTAGAGCGAGGGCCATGTTTAAGAGAAAGCATCCACGATGAAGTTGATGATGTTAGGATGTTGGAATGTATGGCTCCATTCTGTATTTAGCCGCAAAATGTCTTCCCTTCGCAAATTTTTACTTAAATTATACCGATTAATACAGCTTTTGTTTTCATCTTGGTTTGAAGTTCTATTCGGAGTTCTGTTTCCCTTGAGAAGCCAAATTTCGTCTTATTTCTTCTACCTATCCTTCTCTATCTGCAGTGTACTGTACGTCTCATTGCATCGATACGACAACGGCAACTACTGGCCCCATCAGAAAGAAGCGGACTATAAGGAAGTTGGAACAGGCAAAGGGGAGGGAAAGACGGTTCAAATCGCTTGGAATAAGGCAAGTTTTTTCAGGGGATTGCACTTTCTTACAATGTGCTTTCATAAGCGATACTCTAATAAGTAGTTAAATTACTTATTTGACGCTAATATATCAGGATAAACTCATTTTTGAGGCCAATTGTGAACATTGTTTTAAAATAACTCTTAGAAATTTTTGCAATTTATGAAATTAAATGAATCTAAATCTAGATATTTCGAATTGTGTCTAGTCTTTTTCTTTAAGAAGATATGTTAGTTTGTTGTGTGAAAAAACTACTGTTCCAAGATCAGGTCATAGACGTTGAATAAACAAGATAATTGCATAATTATTGCAGATAGGTTAGTAGATATTCTCCATGCATAAACGGCAGGAAGGAACAACATAAAATTTCTAGCAACGATCCAGTATAGAATTTCTATGGCGAATAGGTCGTTGGAAAACGCCATACTCTGCCATCTGCAACAGATGGCGTTGTATCCGCAACAGATGGCGTTGTTTCTTTTTATTTCATAACCAGCAATTTATTCACGATCCCACAGGTTTTTTTTCTGAATAAGACCTTGTCTTGTTTATTTCCTTTTAGAAAGGCCTAGGCGACAGTGAATATCTGGCTGCTTTCACAATGGTTATTCTCCCTATTGCGTATGAAGTATGATTTTCTCATTCTAAGGAAACTGTCTTTCATGTAACACAGCCTTCTCATTTCAATGCTGAACATTTGTTTCGATGTTTTTCCGTTGTCATTGATGTAACGTGCTCAAAATTTGAATATATTGCTTAGTTTGTAGCAGCGTTGATAGCAATATCTTATTCCGCCCGACTATATGCAGCCTTTACTAAAATTATCGTTGTTTACTGATGTGTACTGTCTACGAAGTGAAGGATATACTGCAAATGCATCACAAAGTTTTAGAGCAGCCAGAACAGTTGAAAGTTGGTTTTCAGTGACATGCTGTACTTGTAGACTTTGTATGCACGAAGCGCTGTTATATCAACTTTTACTGTCTCACAAGCAACACAGTTTCCTTTGCTGAGCTAAAAATATTCCTAGGTTATAGTTCTTTTATTATAGTCGGAGACTGTTGTGACTGGTGATGGCTAGAAGAAAAGTTTGAAGAACCTTTTAAACTACGACTTCCTGAATGTTTATTTTGCAAAAGAATAAGTGCCAATTTTGCATATTTTTTTAGTTTGCACCTGAGCTGGTTCTCGTTTCATGTGGCTTTGATTCTGGACTCGGTGACCCAAAGGTTGTCATTTTTGCTTCTTGTACACAAATGAACAATTTCTTTGCCTCTTTGTTTACAAATAAGAATACTAACTAATTACGTAATAAAGCGCAGTTTTGATAAGATATCTAAATGATGATGCTAAATGATTTGTTGGCGAGGGATTCTCTTTACGTTAGGAATGTATTGTTTCCTATATATATTGTTAGGTTGCAATAGCCTTAATCTCTTACTGAGGCTCAGCATGCCTTTAAGTATTGTGGAGGTTGACTTTTCGCTGTCATGAATACCAGAGTCAGAATTTCACGCTGCTTTCCTGGGCTTTCAGTCCAAGTATAATTTTGCCACCTAATATGCTTTTGATTTTTCCGTTTCACATAAGAAAATTGTCTTCTTTCATTTGTGCTAACGACGAAATCCTCTCCTTAGGGTCAGTTCTGCGTCACTCCGGAAGGCTTTGCTCAATTGACGCATCTTCTGATGGGTCTGGCTAACGGAAAGATCATTCTGGTGCTTGAGGCAAGAAATTGAATGCTCTTTACTTATTATTTCTATCTTACAAATTTTTTTTCATAATTATTTTAAGTATCAATTCGCAACCAAATAGCCCCAGCCTAACAAGACAATATGCTGAGCAACAAAAGGATTTTAAAGATTTCACTATATAGCTTTATTACTTTGAAGTGTTTCAAAAGGATCTTTGTATAAACCAGTTAATTTCTAAGGCCGACTTCTACTTCAACATTTGTGTTCCCACACGCGCTGTGACCCACCGTGCCTGTACGTATTTTGAGATCGCTTTGGTCGCAGCATTGTCTATTGAAAGACCATGGTCGCAGAGAACTAATTCTCCTTGCATTGGTGTGACCTTACTTCCAAAAGGACTTGGCGCTAACAATCTGCGAGGATCCTTTTAGATCAGGAGATTCATAGCGCGTGGAAACGAAGGCCGGCTTTAGTCAAAGTCGGCCTTAGTCGTCAAGAGTCTTTTTGTACTCTAATGAGTGTTAGGCAAAATTCAAACTAAACGTTTCACCGCTTTTTCGCGCCAAATTTTGAAAGTTGCTCTACAACTCAATTTTTTTTGCAGGGGGGTTACAACCTCAGCACCATATCATACTCCATGGAGGCTTGCGTCAAGACTCTACTTGGGTATCCTTGTATCCCTGTTGAAATTGGTGAGGCAGATGACAGGTATAACTTTTGAAAAGTCGTTGCTAATATCATGTTTGATACTACTAAGTTTGATGACGCACGAGTGTTAAAGGGATGTTGAGAATGTATTATATTTCACGGTAAAAGTAATGGTCCACAAATATTATGTAACACAACAGACTATCATTTCAAATCAATGTTGCTCTTTGTTCTTTTGTATCAAGCTCAAGACTGTATTAGGTCTGCACTGTAGAGTATATTCTAGTAGGATGACGTCACCAGCTATCATAGTCACGTTGCGAGTAGTTATGTGTTGTCCGTTTCTGGATATGACGTGACGTAGATAACATGGAGCAGCCAATTTACGGAACAGTGAAACTCGGATAATCGTCATATTTACTCACTTAGTGTACAAAGTCGCTTTTATGTGCTATTTATTCCATGTTTTAATCAGGGTATGCTTGGTATAAACTTCGATTTACTTTCCGTATCTGTGATTTGGTATTTTTTTACATTAGTGCTATAGAATCGATTTTGAATACTGCGCGAACACAAAGCAAATACTGGAAGAGTCTCAAATGGGCAGGTGGGATTACATTATTTTGTAATCATTTTTTCTGAAACTAGCTACAGAAACATTTCATCATTTGCTAATTCCCTTTTTCTTAGACAAGGCTGAAAGAAATTACGCCGTTATAGCAATTTGCACGATTTATTTATCAAAATACTTATCCCAATAAATATTTATCTAAATGTACTTACCCTTTATTCTTACCCATTTGAAACCTGTTTTCAAATTTCAATTTTTAGCGGTTTCTTGATTCAGACTAATAGTTGCCGTGATAAGAAGCTTCTAACATTTTACAAATCTTCTAACATTCTTCTTTAATATTTTACGGCCTTCTAAATTTTATAAGTAATTTTGCCATATATGACATATATGATGGAACTGCCAGTTGTAGGATAACTCAAAATCTACGTCACTACTCTAAAGCATGCTGAAACTGGTTGTTCTCGTATTGACGATAGATTCTTAGAGGAAATAATCTTCCAGAGGTAAAATTTGGCACAATCAGCCATCTTCAAGCCCTTCTCACAAATTATTGTAGATTTACTTTTCTCTGTGTCCTCTTTTACGAAACCGAAGAGAATCTATTTAGTGTTTAGTGTCTGGCATTTATAATATCTACTGAGACAAATAGAATCCATAAATTCTAAGTCGTTTACAAATTTGCGCTTTAAGAGAGTATCTTATTTCAAAGAAAATCAAAATGTTTTTATGATATACATGCTTTTTTCACCTTTTCAGGCAAAATATTATCTTCAACTGATGACATGGCAGAGAGTGTCAGCGCAAGGTGATCTTTATTTCACGCTTTTAGGCATTATTTAAACTTTTTATTCTTAAATTCGTTTGAAAACGATTGTGTTGTTGTGAACAATTTATTCTAGAATATTATATTTCCAAATACATTCTTATTTCTTTAGACTGAAGGAAATGTCAGTTGGAGAAAAAGAAGAAAAGACTGAAAGCTTCGACAAAGAGCACTGAACACTGAGTTATTCTTTTTACTGCATAGCAGACTTTTTTGGCAAGACATCAACTAAGTTACTATCGATTTTTTGTAGTTGAATGTGTAGTTTGGTAAGTGAGATTTTTGTAGAATACTGTTGTGGACCGCCAACCCTTTTCCGCAACTAATGGCGCCCAACATGGGAATAGGGTGGTGTCCAATTTTTTCTCTCCTCAACCAATGCTTTGACAGGCATTCTGATTAAGCGCTTTGGCACATGAATTTAGGGAGTTAGTTGCTAAGATTTGTGGGAGTATACGCATATTCATCTGAATTTAAATATCTCAAGAGTTTGATTTTCTTGGTATCCCCGTCCTAGAGTTTACAACAAATAATGATAAGGACTATTTAATTATTATGTAATTATTGGAGACGCCTACCATGCAAAAATATGCAACGATCATCAATGCACACCTACCATGTGTTTTACGTAAAATGTAACACATTAAATACCAAACTTGGAAGAAATTAAATACAATCATTGTAACACTTCCTCTTTCTACAAGAGATACTTGTCTCATGAGTAAAGATGCCAAGAGAGATATCAAATGGAGGGAGAAAAAACTCAAAACCCACTGCAAGACACGTTTAAAATGAGTTCTGAAACTCGTTTTGACTCTTTGGTCACCTGCAGTCCTATTCTTTCCCGGTGTACCAACCCCCTCCCCCTTTCTCCTCCCCCCCATAAAACCACGCAACACACAAAGTATATGCATTACAAATTTTATTTGAGTAGCCATGTATTACGCTAGAAATGGCGGCCAGTGCAAGAGTTAGAGCATGTATTTCCCGATTGCACAAAACACATACCCAGCATGCTACAAAAAAATAACAAGCCATGCCTGTCTGCGTTCCTAAAAGCCTTACGTAATAAGTTATTTGCCCCTAAATATATTTGTTGTGTTGTAAATATAATAATTATTAGCTGTAAAGTGTGTTCTCAAAGGACTATTTAGAGCTTTGCTCATATCTTAATTTCTGTTGTCATTTTACTCATTTTTACAGAGAAAGACTTGTGATTTGGTATCTAAATCAATTTGCCTTAATACATAGCCTTCTAAATCGATTTGTTATAATAAATCCCAATTGCATAACAGTGAGTTTGGTGTTTAATAGCTTTAATTGGAAATCATATATTCAATTGGAGGCGATCAATAAACTGAACTTTGACTGAGTTAAATTGTTAAACAGTTTTTACTGGAGTATGCATGTATATTAAAAAAAACTTGATTACAAATTCTTTTTTTTTCTCATCAATTTTTACTTTTTACTTTAAGATTAATGACAGAAGTCAAAAATTGTATCTTTTTTTACAGTATCTAAATTTGCTATTCATACAGAATGGTTAGTGATTGCACAGGAATTTAAAAACAGTTCTTTTTGCTTTCTTTTCTTGACTTTTGCTATTTCAATTCCCAGCAGAAGTCACATTGTTTTTCTGAAATCAACATATTTATTTTTTCTTAAATAATTATCAGTTTTGTTTATTACTTCCAATAGACAGTTGACGTCATTTCCGGATGTTCGCTTTTCTCATGGGCTTTCCTTTGGTTCTCTCTACTCGGTCTCTTAGGACATGTCCGCGATGAGACTTCAACATCAAAAACTCGATGGTGGTCAAACTGGAGAGACTTCACGCTTCGGAATGTTAAAATTTGTGATTTTTAAGGACTTTTATTCTTGCTAACCAAAAACAAGAAAATGTGGATAATATTCTGCAACATTCAATCCCAGTCTTAGTTCTCCTCCTGCCCTTTTCTTTTTAGATCCAGTCTTCGTCTCCAGAAAGCAATTGTGCCTCGCTTACAAACTGCTTTCTTAAACCTCGTTGCCTCGTATGTCTGTGTTTTGATCGCTCTTCCGAAGGCCCCGCGGAACCGACTTCGTTGAATTCTGATGCGTTTTGCCCGCTTGTTGCAGAGAAATAAAAGCTACCAGAAACTGAAATAAAATCAATGGAAATAAATTCCTCTTTATTAAACTTTTTCTTGCGTTACTTTAAAAAATACAAGTTAACAACTGAAATGAATTTTAATGGTATGATTAATTGCAATGCCGCAGTGCGTTGTTGCTACACTATTTTGCATGTTACAAAACCTTTTGTTGCAAACGTGTTTCAAGATCTCTTTCGTAAGCTTAACAAAATCAAATTTAAACAGTTGAATAAATTTATGCTTTTGATTGTAGAACAAGTATCCAAAACAGTTTAAATTTAGTTTTTATATTTTATATTCGTTATTTTATAGTCTTATTTTATAAAATTAATTCTTTGAAGAATCACGCCAGTTGAGAAAAACAAGGAATCAGAACATTGCAAGACAAAATAACTGATAAAGATGGACGAATCCTCAATTGCTAGAGCAAAAGATGCTCCGTCATAAGTTCAAAAGCTCACTTACCTTCTCTTATTGAAGAAAGAAAGTCGCTAGTTTTGCTGTCAGTGTAATTGCTGGCAGAGGAAGGGAAATGTGGTTTTGAACTGACTTCACTGCCAAAAACAGAGTCAGCTTCGACAACAAACTGTCTAGTTGTGGAAAGCATTCTCTGTGAGACGCTGCCATCTTTGTGTGAGGACTGTGGTGCAGTTTTGAGCTTGCAATGCATCGGGAGCCATGTCTGTGTCGCTGCATTCTTGCAATCAAAATTCGCTTCGTTCGCTTTTTTTTGCACCAAATCTAAAATTGAAAGAAAATGCTGTATGAAGCGGCCCCTTGTAAAAAAACCATTGCGAAAACAAGGAGTTTTTCCCATATAAGGGGGCTTAGTCAGCAAATGGGACTTGAAAGCCCCCCCTCCTCCTTGAACCAATAGCTAGCGACGGCCGACGGGCCTCCTCATAGTCGCCCTTTCCACTTTCATTGACCTTCGTCTATGCATATTCACTCGAAATTTCACGTCCTCATAACTATAAACAGAGGATACAAGAAGCTATGAAATTGCAAAAGTTGAGCCTGTGATGCAAATCTAACTTGTGATTTAACCCCCCCCCCCTTGCTCTCCCCTGCCATCCCCAAGCTCATTAACGTATCTTTTCTGTTTACCTTGCCATTGAATTCTCTTAGCTTCGTAGCCCAAGCAATGAGCACATCTCTTCAATCTGCACATGCAGCGTCCCTTGTCTTCTCCAACTTCTTGGCAAAGTCCATGATTCAGTTTTCCGATGCTTTCTTTAACTCTGTTTCTCATCATCTCTTTGTGTCGCTCAATAAGCAGCATCCTGTTCACATCTTGGCCTACCTCCTCAACTGCTTGCTCTGTTTCCGAACATTTTAGGCCTTTAGAAGCTTTCATCTGCTGCTTTTTATTTCTTCGTTTACTACGAATGGTATCAATTCGGTGACATATGACCACTAGTACCAAGAAAACTCCTAAGAGAACCAATGGAACTGTTAAAGCAACCACTTTTTGTGACTTGTCCGCGGGCACATCACTTGATCTCGACTGGTTTCGCAAAAGGTCTGTTTCATTTGTGATATTTGATTTTCTTTCTAGCAGTCCTAACAGAATCCGTTGATATTTTGATGTTCTTGGTTGTGTTAATTCCATTATGAATGGTGTTGTAGGTTGCAATGAGCCATTCACAGAGTTTGTGAAATTCCTCAGAGTTGAAGTAAAATTTTCCCCTAAGCCTATTTCAGTTCGCGTTTCGTTTTTCATTTCGACAATGAAGTGTTGCTTAGGCCTACTTGTATTTTAGCAAACCAACGTGCTCTAGTGTCAGTATTTTCAGAAAAACGTTGTTAGATGGGTGGATATCTTAAATCTCAAAAGAGTTCGCCTGAATGCATAGAGCTTCTCGCTGCCCCACGTGTAAAGGAGATGTGCACATCATAACAAAAGCAATCCTTTGATAGAAATAAAGCAACAAAGCGTGAGCAATTTGTCACACATTAGGTGAGGGCAAGCAAGGGATATATTTGCTCATAGAAGTTTGGAAAAATTTGAGAAAAGTATGGAAAAGCAACTACCGTAAATTCACTTTTAAGCCCTCCTCTCAATTAAGCCTCTCTCACTTTTCAGCCCCCTTTTCAGGAGGAAAAAATCAATAACCCCCCCCCTCAAGAAAAATTTCACTGATGCTAAAATAGGTAAACTTGATAAAAAACGGAGATTTTAATTCTATTCATTTGACGTTCAATACTTCTCATCAAATCAAAATTCAAAGCATATTTCTTCCAGTCTCCACGGATCCGAAGACAAAGATTTGATGTGCATTAAGCACTGGCCATATGAGAGCCTTTTACCAAAATTACAGGACTTTGATACTCAGAGGGATGAAGTCGACCCTTTCGAATGCTCGATATCAAAAGACGAGATGGCCCAAGAAGATGATTTGAGAATTAATATTTGATGATTATGGTGAAGACAATATTATGGAGATGTAGATGCCTGATTTGATGATTTTTATTTTGCAAATAACAAAGAAGTAGTCTGACTATTGAAAACGGTCTCTCAATTTAGTCCCCCTCTCTTAACATCCTTAAAGTCCTAAACAATTTTCTTGAATGCAAAATGAAGTCAAGAAAAATGTTGTAAAAAACATACAAAAACAAACACGGCAAACTTCGTTTGTCTAATGAGCTCGAAAGATAAAGACGATATCAAAGTTTTGTAAACAAGGTCGTTCCATAAAACACAATTTTGTTTCACGAGACTCTACACGACTTCACCATTGTTCTGTACTTTCAAAATTTGGTTTTCTATTATAATATACTTAATAATTTTGCTTCCAGGTTGAGTTAAAATCAAATTGAACAAATTAGCATAACGTTGCAAATCTATAAGGAAAGATTTCCTCAAAGTAGAGTTTTAGATAAACGTTTTGTTTCCCATAGGCGCAAGGACCAGGCTGAGTGAACTGAGGAGGCCTTAGCCCACAAAACACTTTCCAAAAAGAACTTGAAACCAATGAAACAGCCTTGCTCTTGGTTTTTAACATTTTTATCCTCCCAAAACGTTTTAGCTCCCAAAATCTGTAACATGATCCGCGGCCCTTGCATAGGCGTGGCAATAAAAGATGCACAATTTCAGTTTCTACCAGTACCGGCGTATCAGGTGCATGTTGTTTACACTTATGCGACATAAGAAATATTCCTTCAGTACAGTACTCCCCAGAATAATGTGCATTTGTAAATTTTCCTTAAAAAACCCTGATTCCAGCCTTAACGTTTAAGTACTTAACTTGCTTGCTGATTATGTTCCGATTCAAAAGACAGGTAAGTTGATGACGGGCAGATGATGGAAATCACCTCGAGCTGAAAGTTGTCCTTAAACAAAAGCAAAATTTGGGCTCATCGTTCTGCAAGATTTGCTGTTCTTAGTAATCGTGAGCTTGAGGAAGCTGCCATGAATCCACATCGTAAACGATAAGGTAAGCCGTTGCAAATATCTTTAACGCTAATAAACCATCGGGTGGGTTATTCGAGGATTTTCCGATTTGAAGAGAAGTCTAACTGATCAAAACGAGGTTTGCCCTTTAAAAAGAGGTTCGCGTTTGCAATGGCGGTTTTCCCGCGAGAGGGGAAGGTTTTTATTCTTGGCCTTTTTGTTCATATCCTTTACCTTGCAGCAATATTCGATGTTTATTTCAGGTCGCCACTGGTTAGGAATATAACTCCGCTACAGGCGACAACAACGGCTCCTGCAAAACGAGTTGTTCTATTCATTGCCGATGGCCTAAGAGCAGACAAATTTTTCACCACTGACGAGAAGTTTCCAAAATCAAGGGCGCCTTTCCTCCGTCAGATAGTAGAAGAAAAAGGAACGTGGGGGATTTCTCATTCAAGAGTGCCCACAGAAACCAGGCCAGGCCATGTTGCTATTATTGCAGGATTTTTTGAAGATGTCTCAGCAGTTACTAAAGGTTCGTTTCACTTACAGGAGCTCCCCCTATATCAATTTTTAGAAACTCGCAAGAGTTCACTGTAGCAAGATAACAAAACGAAGCTTGTCAGAAATCACGGAGGGCTCCTCCCCCACCCTACTGGCATTTTTTCCAGGGAATTTAGGCTTTCAAACCCCTGATATGTTGAGTCTGTTTCTTGTCAAAAAAAGAAAATAATGTAGACTTGGGACAAAGGTATAGCGGTGGTTTTGATAGTCATGAAAAAATTAATTCAAACCTACAATTTGCAATTTTTTGTTCTCAATTTTGTTTCACAAAGTAAGCAGTTGATATCCCAGAATTAGAGAGAGAAGGCTAATAACATGTGTGTAATATTTAATGGGTTTAATCTGTGTTTTCTATGATGAATACATCACATTCACAGATTAAAAAGAAATGAACTGGTGATTTGCGTTATTAGATAGGCTGTTTTCAACATACTAAAGCTTGTTGCACACTTCGTGAGCTGAATTTCACTCATGACTGTTGGCGTAGGCTGTTTTCTCAAATTTGTGGTGTCCTTTCCTGAGATTTTCATCATGCGTGCCATTGGTGCAGGATAGATGTTTTGTCCATCACAGATGTTTTGACAATTGTTTGATTTGTTTTGGCAGGTCACCAGACATTGTCTTACAATGTTGTTTTTGTGTTTGGTGATGTTTTACAGATGTTTGATTCATTTGGCCAGACCTTTGCACCAACAGTCACAAGTGAGACTCAGCTCAGCTGATAGCTCAAGTTTGCACCAGGCTTAATGACAGATGTGTTAGCAAGGGCCCATTGTTGATGTTTTCAAAGGAAAATTTAAGGTGAAAGAATTTCAATAAAAGACTATTGACATGCGCAGCCATGAGCATGAATCCTATCTGGGGGGTCTATGAAAACAAACAATGACAGCCACTACAAGCCTAAAGCTTTGGAAAAAAACTATTTATAGACTAATACCACTAGTAACACTGTAAGCTGCCCCTGGCTGCATGTGACTGTATTTTGTCTGATTTTATCTGTTGAGTTTCAGAATGAACCTTGTGTTGTGATTTCAAAGGACATTCAATGAACATTTTTTTTCTGGAGGGGTTTGCATTCCTTCTAAAAAAGTGCCGAGGTCCATTGAGAGTCATTGCAAAAAAGGGAAGCAAAAACTTCTTTGCGAATTTTCAAACTTTCAATTGCAAAATTATTTCAAGAAAATGAGATGAATGCAAACCATGGAGAGAAACTATTTAACAAAATGTCACATAGTGTACAATTGACTTTGTGACACTAATATTGGTAATGAAGTCAACTTGAACCAGGGAACTTGAACCGCAACTTGAACAAAGAAAAGATTTAGACAAGATGTTTTCGTTGGAGGGAGAATTAAAGATCCCTGACCAAAAAGTCAAAAGGCTCTAGTTTTTGAGTAATGGTGCTTTCATCATGGAAAATTCATAAAATACAGGGCTTTTTTGAAGTCTTTGCATATGTGGTCACGTCAAAAAGGAAGCTTCTAAAGGAGAACAGAATTTTGACATTGCCTGAAAGATTTAACACGTTTAGATAAAAGAAGCAGATTTCCTTGCTTGCAGTTATGCTGGTAAAATCTGGAGGAAGAAGTCATTATGAATGCAAAGACATTGCGGTGAACCTTAAGAGCCTGGCATTTCCATCATAAAAATTCAATAAAACATGGTGGAGAGGACCAATGTTTGTTTTCTTTGTAGGAGTGAGGCTCAAACACCATGCCAGGTTGTCCAAATTACATGACAAAAAACAACAAAAAGGGATTAAGGCAGATCTTCAAAAGCAAGAACTGTTGAAGACTTCCTTTTAAATTGGCTTTAGTTTTAATCAAGCACTGTACCCATGAAATGTTATTTGATATGATTTTTGGAATGTATTTTTTGGAACTGCTTTTGACAGAAAAGTGAGAAGTATCTTTGATTTTCTGTTCTTGGATATAAGGCTTTTTATGTTTTTTAAAGGTGTTGTACATCAAATTTTACAAAGTAACATATGATTATGAACTGTTATATCTTCACAAATTGGTTTTAAAGACCAAGCTTTTTTCTTTGTTTTTGATTAAATTTAGAACTATATCAGATAAAAGGCTAGAATAACTTTTGATTTTGTTGCTATTGGCAAGACATTCAGGGTTCAAGATACAGATAAAAATACTTTCAATCGAAACTTTTCCTGGTCCAAAGATTGGATTCCAAATGGAGAATTATATCTTTATGCATCAAAGCATCAAAATGGCAAAACACTATAGGATAGCAATGCTAGTTGGAAACCAAAGTACTTAATTACTGCTTACTATGTTTTCAGAAGTTGTTGTTTTATATAGTTTAATGTTTTTAATGTTAGGTTTAATTCTTTACAGGGTGGCAAGAAAACCCAGTTGATTTCGATTCAGTTTTCAATGAGTCCCGAATAACCTTCTGCTGGGGAAGCACTGATGTTTTGCCAATGTTTGCTACCAAGGCTGCCAAAGACCACGTGATAACAGCAACATACAATGAAGAAATGGTTGACTTTGCTGACAAAAAAGGTTCCCGTCTTGATGATTGGGTATTTCTGGAAGTTGAGAAGTTTTTTGAAAACGCAAGATCGAACAAGACACTGCTTGGCCAGCTCAACAGCGATAAAATCGTTTTTTTCCTTCACCTTTTAGGTTTGTACATTTACTTGTAATTCATGTTTAATACATTTAATCAGTTTTTTTTGAGATCATCGAAATTGAATTCGCAGCCTCGACTTTTTGGATGCTGATAATTTTCTATGGTTTAAAAACTAAGACGGGCTCCCATTCACGAACTACAAGAAGGTCCCATCCAAGGATGTAGAGCATGTCAAACAATTTTCTCGTAAGATTCATAGTTTTCTCGTTAACCAGGGGGTCATCTTACATACTTAAGTTAAAAAAACTTTTGGAGCATTTGAAAACAAGGTGAAGTCGAGCGAAGTCTCAAAAACATGGATATCTATGGTCCCCCTTTTGATATGGGGGCCCTTTGTTATCGAACTAAAGTGCACCAAGCTGTGTTACGTTTCTGATTGTAGCCTTTGCTGATTTACAGATTTTGACACTTGCTTCGAAAAATGTTGTATCTCATTCCGTAGCTTACATTTTTGCTGGGAAACTATTTCACGAATGATTTGCAAGTTAGAAAGCGCATCCTTAATTTAAACTTCAGTATGATTAATACGACGAAAAACGAGAGTTAAATTTTTCAAAAGGGAAATTCAGTGTGGTAGTTGGCATTCCTATGAAATAAAGATTTGACTAGGCAATGTTGGTTTTTTATTGATTAAAAAATATGCCACCGTAATCGAAATGAGAAAAAATTTAGTCACCAATGATTTCTTCCGAGTGAAGCGAGATTAAACAGCTGGGGGTTAGGAGGTCTAGGGTGAAGCCCCGGAAATTTTTGTTGTCGATACAGCCTTGCTTTGAGCCATTCTAGAGCTATTTCGTGATTATTTTGTCAATTCAAATGAGGAAAAAATCATTTTTTATGACAAAATCAATGCTAAAGTAAGCAACTTTCCCAAAAATAACAATATTATTTCAAATCTATTCAGCAAAAAAGAATACAAGTATATGTACGAAAGGGACTTAAGGTTTGTGATATTCCTCATGATCAATCGCTATCTGAACATTCAAACGACGAGGATGATGACAATTTCGACTTTTTGACTCTTCGAAAAAGTTATTTCGATCCTTGATACGAGTTTGGCTATACCATATTTTCATTCAAGTAAGTAGAACATTTCGAGACGAGCAAGTGTTGGGTGGGTTATGCTTAATTTGTCAAACTAATACCAAGATAAAATCTTGCTAATACCTGTGTTTTAATTTCAGGTTTGGATGTAAACGGACACGGATATCGACCACATTCTCAAGAATATTTGAACAATATAAATTCTGTGGATTCAGGCATCAAAAGAATGATGCAGATATTTGAGAGGTTTTACAAAAACGACAACAAAACAGCTTACATAATGACATCAGATCATGGGATGTCAGACTGGGGCTCACATGGGAGTGGGCACCCCGATGAGACCCTGACCCCCATGGTTGCATGGGGTGCTGGAATACAAGGCCCTAGAAAGCACCGTGGAGTTTATGGAAAAGAGAAGGATTCATTCTCAGAAACATGGAAGCTGGAAGATTATGAAAGATCAGACATAAGTCAAATCGATGTTGCTGCATTAATGGCGACACTGATAGGTTAGTTCAGAGTACGTTTAACAAGAGTTCACGCATGTTCACTGAGAAAACACTTGATTCATGCAATTTGTATTCGTCTTGAACCAGTGATAGGTGAAAGAACCTGCAAAGTAAACAGCATCCCCAATATAACAAATCGTCTCCCTTTTTTAATTAACTTCCTGTCATAACAAACTTTAAAACATTCTCCCTTTTTCATTAGTTTCAGTATAACAGAGACAGTTTCATTTCAATTTTTGTTGAAGTAGATTCTTCCACATTCTTCCACTATTCACAAAACTCCTTATGCAAAATGTTCTTTTTTCTGTAAGGTTTTTTTTTTTGATTTTCTGAAATGATGGATGTCGGTGCCTGGGCAAATTAATGAATTTTCCCCTTTCTTGTTTAGGTGTTCCATTTCCTGTTAATTCCCTTGGTGTGTTACCTGTCAGTTTTTTGAATGAAAGTGAACAATTCAAAGCCGAGAATCTTTTCAGAAACGCAAGGCAAATACTAGCCCAATACAAGCAGAAACAGCTGACTGTAAAAGAAAATTCCTTTTACTTCAGACCGTTCGTGTTAACAGGTAAATGAAATTGCGCCTCTTTTTGAAGGAACGATGATAATCAGCGGACAAACTTTTAGCATTGTCTTTGTTTGCTCATTTACGTAACAGTTGATTTGTCCAGTTTCTTTTACTTCGCATTCTGACTATCCATTGGCCCACAGACAATATTACCAAGAATAACAAAGTTGAAAATTGCCAAGTCATATTTTTACTACTGTTAATAATAATAGCTCTAATATATAAGTTATTTATTCAAATCTTCTCGTTCTAGGTTCTCTTCAAGAAGAGTTTACGCGTAATATAAGCTTGTTGATACGTGGCAAGAAGTTTGGAGATGCAATGGACGTAACGCGAGATTTGATACAGCTGGCAAAAGGCGGACTTCGTTATTATCACAGCCATAGCACAATTTACATAGCAGTTTGTGTTACCATCGGATTTATCGGTTGGATTTTGCTTGTTGTAATTGAAACATGCAAAAATTACACTGATATTGATCTCCCTATCAACCGATTGCGAGCGAGGCTAATGCCTAGCAAGTGGCTATCAGTCGGCTTCGCAGTAGCATCACTGTTTACAATTACAGGTTTAATGGCAACATCTGCAAAGCTCAATGAATTTTTGTACTGCCTGATGCTGCTGGCAGTGTTTTACCAATTGTCTTTGGATCGATGGGCAGCTATGAAGATTTTCACTGCCGCCGTGAATCGGTTTTCTGTATTTAAGTTGGCCACATTAATGGCAGTTTTTGGCGTTGCACTATCCCTTCTAGTGGCTGCCTTCACCTATCGCGCAGTACTTTCTTTTATTTTACTTAGTTTTGCGGTGTACCCCATTGTGTTTAGGCGAACGGTAACTTTCTACAGTCTAGCTTGGCTAATTGCATGTTTGTTACTGTCAATATTCCCATTGCTACCAACATTAGGACGAGAGGAAAATTATGCATTTGTCGCGTTAGCTGGACTTGCCATTGCTTCCAGTACTCTCGTGTTTGCCTGTAACTTTGCAACTGGAACAAAGAATTTAACCGTGATGTCACTTTTGGTAACGGCTGTTGTATTGTGTACCCTCTTGCGCCTGCATACCTCGCAAAGCATCGCTGCCAAAGAAGGACTGCCTGTTGTCAATCAGATTCTCAGCTGGGCTCTGGTTCCAACTTTACCAACTGTCGTACTCTTTTCGCAGAAGGAATCTATAACGAGGCTGATAGCTATACTAACAAGCCTCTTATCCATTTACTTGCTGACCTGTATATCATATGAAGGGTTCTTCGTTTTCATTTTGGCACTCACAATGATTTTATGGATAAAGGTTGAGCAGCAATTGATGGAATTCCCTTCATCGCATATTGATTTACAGAACAGATCTTCATCAAAGCTTTCTTCTGACCACATAAGGATATCGTTTATGTTTATTTTCTTCATTCTTCTCGCCTTCTTTGGCACGGGAAACATCGCAAGTTTGAACTCGTTCGATCCCGCGTCTGTAAATTCATTTATAACATTATTCAGGCCGTTCGTGATGGCCAGTGTTTTCTTCATCAAAATACTGATCCCCTTGCTTCTTGTTTCTTGTGGCTTCAGTGCAATGCAGAACACGCTACACGTGCAAGTGCGAGGATTGTTCTACGTTGTCATGGTGATGACTGATGTGATGTCAATTATGTTCTTTTTTCTTATCAAAGATGAAGGGAGCTGGCAGGAAATTGGAACGAGTATCACCCATTTCGTCATTATGTTAGCATTTGTGATATTTCTAGTTCCGTTATTCGAAATCGGGTACATGTTCACTGGGTCTGTAAGTTTTAATGTGGAGAAATATCATTTAAATTAATTTTGTGTACGTGGATGATCATCGTCAATTCTACCAGAGGCCACACCTCAGACCACACCGAAGACCACACCCGAGACCACAGCACTACCAGAGACGACCGTTGTCAATTTCTGCAAAATTCTTTGGAACCTTCAGGAATCTTGATGCGCCAGGAGTGTTTTTTTAGCATAACTGAATAGCCAATTTAAGAGAACATTCTTAAAATCGTATAGTTTATAATTTATCAATATTTAAAGTAAATGTAGATTATTTAAAATCAACCAGCAAGAAAAATTATTTATGGCTAATCAACTTGGTATTCTGTCTGTATTGATCTTTGTCAAATCTGAAAACATGGTCCCTTAATGATCCGCTCTACGTGAGATTTCTCTTTGCCTGATGCAGTCTTACTAATTTGAACATTGTACGGCGGCGTGAGATTGCCTTCGGTACCTACAGTTGACATGTAAACAATGCTATCATCATTTCACCCTTTTAAATCGTCTCGAGATACTCCTTGCGAGAACGCTAAAGCCTAGTTCCCTGTTGCCGCCGTGTCTCCAAACCATTGCGATTCGCTGTTGGTGCAGTCAAAACAGTCGCAAGAAAGTGTTCCCATTGAAGCCGGGAGAACAACATGGGCTGTCGCAGACCATCGCCGACAACATCGCGTCCAACAAATCGCAACATTATTTGCTGCTTTGGGTATTTTTGGACATTGCTGGATGCGGGAATGGCCAAACCAACGCAACGTTTCATCCAACATTTGTCAATTTATCGTCAACATCATCGTCAAGGCCTTACCTCATTCAATAAAGCTTTTGCTGGAAACTGAACATGGCGATGGGACTCGATTACATGCAAAACGATAAGGAGTAACAGTGTTTTTAGATATTTGAAATTTTTTTCATAGCGATGGTCCAACACTTATACCCAACATTGTTAGGATTTGTTGGACGAAAGGTTCGCGCTGGTTTGGCCGGGGCTTGGGAACCAGGCTTAAAAGCACCTCTGACTTTATTAGTCTTCTTTATTAGGGCCGTTCCAAAGGTCGCACTGAGCCGCGCAGAGCCAAAAGAGGTATGCTTCGGAAAATACCGCTTGAAGCCTTTGGACGTCAAGTTCATTGCAAAAGTCTTTCTTCTTGCCAAACAGTTAATAGAATTTGACTTTCCCGTTTTTCACGTACAGTCGTTGATTGAGCAGTCCGAAATGCTAACTTCAAACTGTAATTTTTCATTATATTTGCTCAGACCTTATGTTCAGACACTCGCTTAAATATAAGATCAGGAATACTATTTATGTCGAATTGGTCATGAATATTTATCTTGGTTTGTCAAAGGACATCGTCCGGTGTACCTTGGCCTAAACCGGATTTTGTATTCTGTGTATTTTGTCAGTAATTTGAACTGACCTTGCTTCGAGCCCAATCCAATTGTACATAAAAATTATATGGCAGACCATGCATTTAATTGAATTGCGTTACCTTAAACGGAAATTGAAACATGACCCTGAAACTTGATGCGATGACGATAAGGTTGCAGTTCTGAACACAGTTTTTGGTATCAAACGAGAAAGAGAAAGTGCGAAATGGCTCGTAAAATGGCTGGCACAATGGCATCAAGCAAGTTTTGCGCAGGTACCACCTTTCAATTTTCATGAACAATCTATCATATAATTTGCTCTTCAGCAAAAACGTATTATTTCTTGGTTTCCTTCTCTTTTTTTCGAAAGCAGCGCGTTTTAGGAGTGCTTCAGGGTGACGCACCCAAAGAGCGTGCTGCCGCTAAAAAAGTATGACTTGCTCATTCTAGCAATGTTCTTTCGCTGGAAGTCCTACAGGGGGAGAAATTGCAAAGCTTCTTTCACTAATTTTCGATTTCCTAGTGACTTCTTATTGAAATTTTACGGATATCGACTGAACACAGCCGAAATTCGAACATGGGACTTACTTTCTAAAACGTTCTAAAAAAGTTGAATATTAAGAGGAACAAAAAGCTGAATATTTCTATCTGCATAATTTATGCGCAATTTCTTTCATTCTGCATTGCAAGATTAGACGAAACATTCCAGATAAAACATTACAATATCACCTTCCATTTTTGGTTGATTATATTGAAATTTCTTTTTGGTTTAGTGTTCCTCCTGTTGGCGATATTTTTTCCTGCGTCCTTGAAAGCCAGCTCCTGTTTCACCAGAAAAACACCAAACATCAGAGCGGATCATCTGTTCCACAAAAAGACAAAGCCAGTTATTCTTGGTCATAGGGGAAATCCAAAGAAGTTCCAAGAGAACACAATAGAAGGTTTCAAAAGTCTTGTGGACCTTGGAGCAGATGGATTGGAAGTTGATGTCTACCTCACAGACCGTGACCAGCTTGTTCTTTTTCATGATGACAACGCTATGGTTGATAGCAACTTTTACTTCTAGAAATAGAGCTTATTCTACTTAAGATTTGCTTTTACATCAAATGTGCCAGCATATTTAAACTGATTCTCATCCATGTTCACCAGAAGCAATTAAAGAAAGGAAACAAAACTAGATTAATCTCACGTGCCACAACCATATCTTATACCCCATAAAAAACTAGATTATTCCCACTTCATGTTCCAATTTTATATCGTTATTTCGTCTTTAGTTTGAAAACCACGAGAATTCAGGATTTGCTAAGATATTCAGCTCCTTAGATTTCTCTGTGCCTCAAACATTGAATGAAACACAACATGGCAAATACTGAACGATACTTTGCTTTTTAGAAACTAACTGGTACTGACAAATTAATTTGGGAAATGACGCCAAGTGAAATACAGAACTTAACGTACAAACAGAGCCTCACTTACGGTTAGTTTCCGTGTCTATTCGTCTAAATCATGAATTACTAGGAACAGTTGTTAGCAAATCTCTACACAACGTCTAAATGTGCAACATAGCTTTACCACATTCTTCTAGCAAAAATTTTCAAGCTTTTCTTCTTGAAAAACCTGATGACGTCGCAAGTAGCTACAGGTTTTACATGGAAAAGAAATCAGGGTGGCGTATAGAATGCTTTTTCTTGCTGAAATCTCAATGAAACAATAATAATTTCGAGTTCTCAATCAATCATGAATATAGCTATCTGCTGTAAAAGATGTCTTTTTAATTATCAGCAAAATAATTTTTCAGGTAAAATGACGTATAATTATGCAAAACGACTTAAAGTTGGACTGCTTGAAGATCTTTTGAATGCAACAAAGGATTCAGACTTGCTAATTTACATTGAGGTTGGTGCAATTGACTCTTGCTTATTCCTATCTCTTCTTCTAGACGCACTGGTTTCCGTATTAATCACCTTAACATTTCATTTAGTTTACTTCTGCAGAAAACTGGCAGCAACAACTAGCCGATAGCAAAACCAGAAGACATTCTAAAATTGTCTCTCTCTTTCGATATATCTCCCTGCCTCTCTTTCTTTGCGTTATAACGTTTTCTACCTCTACTGCCCTTCCTATTTACGTTTCCAGTCAGCATTAATTGTTCTAAATCTTCTTTACTTATTAAGTGTGCTAAAAGCTTTGATATTTCTAATAGATTGAGAGTAGTTTCTGTCCTTCTTTGTAAGACCTCGTCGTTAGTTACGTGACCAGCCCATGGTATTATCGTCATCTTTCTGTATAGATACATTTCTATTCCTTTTAATTTCTCTCCATTTAATCACTTGGGCAATACCTGTTTCGCCGATTTATAACACATACTATAATTTCCATTTAACTAACCACAATGCACTTAGTTTTCTCGCAATTGATTTTATATCTATCTGGTAGGTACTTTATGAAAATTAGTATTTTACCAGTCGGTCAAATAGTGTTAGCACGATAAACTAGAAATAGCTCTTGCTAGTACTGCCCGCAAACAATTAGTTCCTTGATAATGATTGTTTTGAAAATGTAGGTCAGGATATTCGAAGAAGACACCATCTTGGGTTTTCACAATTCTATAAAAACAGCTGCTCTAGTTGATGCTAAACTATTCTTTTTATCAAGAATTTTTGGTGTTCAGTTTGCCTTTGATTTAAGTCCAACGCCCTTTTGAAAATCATGAAGTTTTTCGAGGGTTTGACATTTATTTTTCGATAATCACAATAATCATAACTTTTGCTCGTACGGTCCCGAGTTTTTGGGAGAAAAGTGTGGCATTCGACTGGTTTTGATTCCCAAAACTTCGAATCAAAACTTCAATCCATTGCGGAGAACAGAGCTGTGATGCAGCACCGTTTTCGTGCCAAAAAAACCGAAGGCCTTTAACAGAGTCTTGGCAGAGCAACGCTCCGAAGATAATTCCCTTCCGCACAAAGAGGTGGCGGTTAACGACCTCCTCGACAAAGCCGATTGATTGACAATGAAATTGATTGACAGTTGTCATGGCAGCAGAAAAGTGACAAAATCTGCTGAAAAAGTGCTGACAACATGAACTGAAGCTTCCATATGCTACTTATACGCGGGGCAGACTATAAGCCCTTCACTCGCGCGCTATCGCGCGCGAGTTGCGGGCAATTAGTTCACGATATTTGACTTCCACCTAGATGAAACCGAGCAAAACAGTTTACGATAACATAAATGCTGATACAGAGCGCAGTAGGAGGACAGTAAAGGCAGTGATAGACATGGTCACCAGATTAGGCCTGGAGAAAAAAGTCTTTTTAGCCTCCCTTGATTACCGAAAAGCCCTTTTGGCCAAACAAATGAATCCAAACATCGTGGTTGGCTCATTTTACCTGGAAAGTTATTGGAGCAAGAACACCAAATGGTATCAAGATTTTAAAAACCAGTTGAAAACATTTCCTGGCCTCAATACATGCCTAGACGCGCTGCCTGCCGACAGAACACTAATGGACACCCTTTTCAAGAGAGGCAGCATTTTTAAGTCAATAAACGCGTCCTTCATCGATTTACAGTTTTCAATCTACAGCAACAAAAACATAACGAATAACGCTTTCAAGATATTTCGAGATAACTACAACTTGATAATGAGTGCCGGAGCGTCGACAATTTACGACATGAAACTAAATGCAGCTGAAACCGACGCGTCAGAGTCTCGTGTGCAATATTTGATTGATCAAAGAGCCGAGAGACTGGCAACAGATGACGTAACAAGGTTGAGGAAGAAACTAGGCCGGGGTGTGAAGAGTGGTCAGGCCGAGATGAAGAAGACATCAGCATTATTTTTGGTGTTGGCTTTGTTTTCTGTTACTTTCTACTACTTTTGAAAGATAAGCAGCATCTACAACGAAACTTTCTTAAAACTGTTTTATTTCTAAACTTGATTTTGACATGGGAAAATAGCTCATAAAGACTGACTCAATATTGCTATTCTGTCGTGGTTTGTCCAAATTGCTTTCTAATTTGTTAATCATAAAAAACTTTAACTTTAACTTTTCCATCAATCTTATCAATGAATTGGTGATAAATGTTTAGTAGAATCAGTTAACAAATGCATGAATATGTCGGATTTGACTAAAAATTGCAGATTGATTGATTGATGAATTAACTATTTTGGTATGTCATCTATTGAATGATTGATAACCTATCATTTGAACATGAAAAACACTTAATGTACAATAAAAATCAGCACATCCAATGGGTGGATTCTTGTGAGCCTATATAGTACTACACTACGTTGATATGAGTTCTTTGGTCGATCGAAGATGTTCTTATCTGTCGAGATCTCATTCCACTGGATCTGGAAGCTGATATGGCCTGAGTATTGAGCGAATTCAGAGCAACTACGAGCTTCCAGTTTAAAAAGCAGGCATTACCTGTAAAATGCAAGCTTAAGTTGGTATTTTCTGCAATCAACCATCCAGAGAGCACCTGACATTGTCCCTGCCTATTTGCTATTTCATATTGCAATTTCAAAAGCAGAAAGTCTATTTTGAAGAAGTTTGTTGGCATTTTTGTTTCAGAAAAACTACCTAATGACGTTCTCACAGCACATCAGATTTCCAATAAAATAACTAAATTACTTTTCATGGGAAGTGGTTGGTGCAAATTTCTCAACCTACAATGAGAAACTTCCCATTTTCACTTATTTTGGGCAGGGGAAAAACCCTTTTACAATTACGAGGAAATACACCAGTTCTACGTAAAAGCATCAAACCTAAAATAGATTGTGATATTAAAGCAGGGCATCTTTTAAGCAGGGATTTTTTGTAGTGGTGCCGCATTTTTCAAAAGGGCCTACGCTCACCTCAAGAAATTTTACAGAATATCCTGACTTGTTGCAAGGACTAGCTGGGTTGGTCTACACATATATCTTAAAGATAACTATCTGGTTAAGATGTGTTATTACCAAGGACATAGACTAAAAGAAGTTAACAACTTGGTTTTGCTTGTGGATTCAAAATTTTTGCGTTGTTTGCAATTCAGTAGATTTAGCAAAATGTTCATGACAATTGACATTATGGTCACGCTTGCTTCAGTGTCAGTTTCATATTTTGAAATTCCACTACACACACCTTCAATTGAAGCTACATATACATATACAAAAAAGAAATGACAGAGAAACTAAACTAAATGGAAACTAAATGGAAAAGAAAGTGTATGGATGGGAATTTCTTAAGGAGGAACTCTCTCAATAGGTAACCTAATCGAGGAGAGAGCACCCCCTTTAGCCATACTTTGTAAAAAAAGAAATCACCACAGTAACGCAATGACCTAATTCCATATTACATAGTGACGCTGTTTCCATACTGAGTTTTTATTTAGGATTGAGGATCTAGGCTTAAAGAATTAACATGAAGTCTCTTCAAAGCGACCCTCTGCCATTCTTCTAATGCTTCTTACATCTTTGATTAAAACTTTTCCAGTGAAGAATCTGAAAGAACTCCCTACTGAAGGCATAGCATTTGCATTAAGTTTATTCTTTCGAAAGGGCCTCACAGTGGCCTAGATTTTGGGCAAAAGAAGCATTTTGCTCGTCAGTGGTGGGGGAAATTGTAGGGCCTGTCTGGTGGGCGATTCCCCCACCACAGAGTATATTAAACAATGCCCTGTATTAAAGGGTACGGGAAGCTTTGAAGCTACATAGAAGAAACTCAAACTTTGAGGGTTATACCAAGGGACGCAAATATTTGTTTAAAGAAACAAAGTAAGGGTGGTGGGAATGATGATTAACGAACAGCAGGCGAATAATGAGACAATTCGGAATCCTTGAATACCATTACTTGAACCAAGGGAATAAAGAGGTCATGAAGCCACACTCCTTACCCTGGTTTTTTATCAACAATGAGCATATTTGGGTTTTGATGAGGTTGATCCACATGTGACCAGTAAGCAGTGCATAGAGGAATTTTTTAGTTTCTTCTTTAATTTATGTTTTGACATTGCATTATATCCTCAATAAGCTTGCAAAAACATCAGGCTATATCTCAAATTAAACATAATACACAATGCAGAAGCATCTAAGCTCTCCTTTTTATAACAAAGATGCAAAGTGCGAAGTTACAGGCAGTAATATAGAGTGAACAGAAGAGTTTAACAGATTCTCATATTGTATTACAAATAAACTTTGATGAAACTTATTTATTTCACTTAACAGATAGAACTATCTAAAAATATACTTAGAGAAAAAGACACACTGTTATTCTGCCACAAAACATATACATACAGAGGCATCATTACCAATAAACACATCAACTAATTTCTAATCTAAAAATCATATCTTATGGCGTTTATAAGGCTCATCACCCGATGTTCCATCTGATAATTCTTCACTATTTTCTAAACATGCTGTCAGCAATGACCCAGTACAAACAGTATTTGTGTTTACAATGCAGAGATCTAGAAAAATCAAACATTAAGTAATTAATTCCAATCTTGATAAAATCCAGTTTAAAAAAACTGACCTGAATTAAAGATGGACAATGAAGTGAGGGGTGGCTATTTATTGCACTTTCTACAAACCCATGAAGACCTAACCACTTAACAGCACTAATCATACTATTGGCCTATTGTGTTCAACCAAATGAATGGGCCTTTGATTAATCTCTTAATGGCAAGAAATTATCATACAGTATCTATTATTCATTAGACATTTAAGGCCAGCTCAAGGAAATGAAAAAGTAATTCTTAAATGGGAAAATGGCTGGACAATGTTGGAGGTCACAATACAGTTGAAACAGGTAAATGCACTTTCGGTTTATACTCTGCCTCTCTGGTCCCCTTTTCATTCTGTCCAACATAATAGCCCATAAATACATATTGTTTGAAATATAATAGATAACAATATTTCATGAATTCTTCCCTTAAAAAGATTTTTATCATTATTATCAATGATTGAACATGATCATTTCAACTTACAGAGACTAGGAACACCAGACTTTGTAAAATTCTGCGGCAGAATACTAAGCGACCTTGACTGAATGGAACTTTTTCTGCACAGCTCACTATAAAATGTAAAAGAGTAAAGATGATTAATACAATGATGGAAACAAAGAGTCTGTTTCCAGATTAAATTCTGCAGAATGATTGGTGCACAAATTGTTCTGATAGCACAATGCAAACTGGCCATTTGTTAAAAGCAAGCCAAAAGATATAGCCAGAGCAAATAAAGAGAAAATTCTTTTGGATGATTTTAACAAAACAACAAGGTTTAATTTTGAGCCAATTTATTAACATGAAAGATTATCGAAAAGTGATCAAAATAAAATGGGCCTACATGAGTATGGAGAAGTGTGAATTAAGGCTTATAGACAGGTCATTTGCTGGAAAAATTAGGCCTTTTTTCCTGTCAAGGTTTTCTCTTCGAATTCCTTGGCAAGAAACATGCTGGAATAGATTAAGACTTGGGGCATGTTGAAATTTGCCGAAATTTCAAAATGGCGGAATTTTTCAAAATGGCGAATTTTTTACAATGTTTTGGCTACAATGTATCGATATAGTCTTCTAAGACGAGCATTACTTGGCACCAAAGTGTCTTACAATGTTAAAGGCATGTTTGTTGTCATGACTGATCATCAAAAATTCAAAATGGTATACTTTTGATAATTCTGATGGCCGACAACAAACTTTGACTGGGTCACAGACGACACACTACACCATGGGAACGATTTTCCAGCCATCATTCCTGGTGATAAAGGGACACGCTTATATGAATCATTCGTAGATCTATTGCACCACGGAATGAAAGATTATGGCTCATATGTTATTCCAAAGAAACGGGCAGGTCTTCCAGCAATGCCTGATTTTGAAGACAAAATCAAAGATTCACCACTGATTGAAGAGGCATTTCATCGTGATGTAGCTTGGGTATTTTGTGGTGCTGTAAGTAAAGAGATGCTTCTAGAAATACAGCCTGAATGAGACACGATGCTCTCCAGCCAGTTGGATCATGGACGAACTTAATAAAAGCTGTAAAAGATTGTACTACAAAAAGGTGCAAACTAGAATATCTTCCTGTTATTTCTCCACATTATAACGTCTTCAAATGGTATATGGACATGATTCAGAAGATGCTTGATCAGCTAGAAATAGATCATATTTTTCTTCGTGCAGATCAAGCAATTATTCAAAAGTTCTTATTATTCAATGGCTAAACCAAGGGGAGTACGATCAAATCATCACCTACTTGGGCGGCTTTCATCCCATAATGGTCAATTTGAATATCCTTGGAAAGAAGTATTCTTGCCTCAGACATAAGGAATGATGGATAAATGCCGATGTAATAGCTCAAGGGTCTGCTGGTCAAGCGATGAAGGAAAGGCATTGCCATAGAAGCATAAGGCTACACAAACAGGCTTTTGAAGCATTGCTTCGCTATCAAATGAAGGGTGTCCTGAACAAAGGTGAATTCAGTCCAAGATTCAAAAGGAAAATTGTGAATTTGAGGCTTGTCCAATCAACCGCCAATTTGAAGTCCATAACTAATTCACAAGAATTCAAACAGATTATGAACAATTTAACAGATGCCTTTGACACACAGGATCAAATGATGATGCAATACATTCGTGATGTCTCGGCTGTTATGCTTCGTCAGTGCTGTAAGAGAAAATACAATTGAGCGCCATTTAGCAGCAGAGCGTGTTTTGTTGCCAAAGTGTTTTGCATTTGGGCATCAAAACTATGCCTGTTACCTGACATTTCAGCATGTCAAGCTGCAGGATATTAGATCAAAGCAAGAGCGAGCATGGAATGACCTTCTGGTTAATGGCTTTGGTGGTTCAGTCTCTGGCAAACCATACTTGACTAATACTTGATCATACGTGACTTGATAACCGAAACAACCATTAACAAAAAGGTAACGGTCAGAGGGAGCCCCATGCAAGGTGGATTTAGAAGACTGTTGATACCTTTGTAAAGACCAGTCATTTCATGGCTACTGTTTGAGCCAAACTGAAAGAACGCTTGAATGTTTTGACGCAGTCCGTTCACAAAGAAACAACTGTTTGTGCGATAAAGAAGCACGAGGCAATGACCGAAGATCTTGTTTTGCAGCTTGATAAATATTATGATCCATTCCTAGATGGTCCTGCAAGACATTTCAAAACTGGAGCCGAAATCGAGCCATCGGTCATTGAGGGGCTTCTGAATTCATCTGCAGTAGGAGAAGCAATGTATGCTGAGTTTATTGACGAAAGACTCAAAGCCAAAGAAAGTAGGGTTAGTAAATTTGCATCAATAAAAATCCTAGGATCAAAACTGGCATGGAGCGGGCAAAAAGGTTTCCAAAGCCATAAGCATTCTCAAGGAGGACAGGCAAACATTTGGAGCACTTGTTGGTAAAGGCTACAAGTCCAAGAGACGCACACTCTTATCCTCTTACAACTGTTCCACTAGCTTTAGCATCACCTGACAGTGATCTCAGACAAGGCTGGAAAGTTGCATTATGAAATTCGCTGATAGAAGAATCTTTAGCAGAAGTGCAAACACCTTTGTCTAAAGCAGCGTGGATAATTGATGGCATGGCTGCATTAAGGTCAATCAAAAGTGAACCGACTTGGGGAGAGTATGCAAAGGCATACTTCAGATTTTGCACACCTGCAGCCTAAGATCTTCAGAAGTGGCAAATGAAGATAGGACATTAAAGATTCGTAAATATCGAGTCAATTTGTTCAAATATCGGCATAAAAGCCTGTAGTATTTTGGCAGCATACTACAGCATCACTGGTTGTGATACGACGTCTTTTCCATTTGGATTTGGAAAATTAATATCATGGAAAAAGATGGTCAAATTGAGATGCTATAGCCTGCTGAAAAACTTTGGTTCCACTCTGCCTTCCATCGGTTTTTGTCTCTTGATAAAGAGTTCTTTCGAATTGTCATGTACAGAGGCAACAAAGATGAATGCCACGTTGACACAATAATTCGAATGTACGAAAGGCAGAAAGTCAAGTCAGGTTTGGGAATAATTCCTGATGAGAACAGTACAACCCAACATTTGAAGCGAAAATGGCTCCAGGCTCACATATGGCATCAATGCACAAAGCAGATGATTAACTTTCCTCTGTTAACTGAAACATGGGGATGGAAAGAAGTATACGTGCAACCAGTTTCCCCAAATAACAACCAGTCAGACACTGATAATGGAGCAGAAGTTGTTGGTGGAAGTGAAAACAGTGAAGCAGAAAGCACGGATGATAGTGACTATGACTTTGATGCTGACTCAGATGGAAGTGAGGATGACTTTTAGTTTTCAGTATTGAAATTTATGATGGAGTTGGACCGTAATAGGACCTTTTTTGTTGCGTTTGTTTAACTTTTATATGGTTTCTGGCCACAGTTACTTTGTTTTATGGAGCGAAGCGCCAAAATTGTTGATTTGTTTAGTTCTGCCACTTTAAGAACACCATTTTGAATTTTTGATGATCAGTCATGACAACAAACATGCTTTTAACATAGTAGGTCACTTTGGTGCCAAGTGATGCTCGTCTTAGAAGACTATATCGATACATTGTAGCCAAAACATTGTAAAAAATTCGCCATTTTGAAAAATTCCGCCATTTTGAAATTTTCGGCATATTTCAACATGCCCCAAGTCTTAATCTATTCCAGTATGTTTCTTGGCAAGGAATCCGAAAAGAAAACCTTGACAGGAAAAAAGGCCTAATTTTTTCAACAGATGACCTGTCTATTATATGTTCTCCAGGGCTTTGGGAGTTTTTTATTTTATCTAAGTAGTCTGGTCATAAGCTTAAATCACTATCATAAGCTTAATGATGCAAACATTCTGCCACTTGTGCAAATTGCTTGGAAAAAGGGCCTGGTTCAAAACAAACAACATATTAAGCATTGCATACTTGGTGTTCTACTTTGGTCTTGTTATAAACCAAAAACTCAAAAACATGTAATTTTAAATCATGATGTAACACATATACTCCATACATTCACCTTTCAGATTTCAAAACACTCCCGCTTGAAACCTGTTTGCCTAAACCTTAAAGAAAAAGAAAGATGCTAACTTAATCAAGAAAATTTGCAACATTTTTTTCAACAAAATGTGAAAAATAATGACAATGAACAAGTTTTTGCAAGCAAACTAGACAATTGCCAAATCTGATAAAAAAAATATGCTAATACTGCGATACAAGATGGATTGGGAAAATGTCAAAGGATTTGTGGGGGTTAGCAAAACTAAACAATTGCTCATGCTTTCTGATGATCAATTTATATCTAGAAATAGGATCAGATCCAGGAGAAAGGGGCATGGTGGACTCCACAAAGAACATTTCTCTGGACCATGCCCTAAAGGTCATTGCAAAAGTTTTAGGAAAGATTTTCCATCTCAACAAAACTGCTTCTGATATATTTTTACTTTAATTTTGTTTGTTATCTTCTGAACAATAATCCTTTGTCTAGAGAACAATTTTTTGCTCTCTGAATACAAAATGTTTTTTACTTATTTTGTTCTTTTCTTTACATGTATTGTTAATCATTGGTTTATTAACACCTCGTTTATAGGTTGTTTACGACAACCTGTTGGTTGCATTATTAATCGCTTACAGTTTACCAAACATGTAGTGATTTCTGTTTCCAAGTTCTTGAACATCTTCTAGATTTGTTCTCAAGAAAAGTCTTTTGGATTCTTGCAAAAGAACTATGACTATTACCTTTCTCTAAGATGATCATTATTAAAGGAAAAATATGTGAAATGTCTTAATGTGTCAAAAATTGAAAAGGTCTGAGGTCTACTTGCAAGTTAGATGACAAGCAGAAGACATTTCAAATCAATATGGCAAGTCATTCAAGATTAATATAATATTCATAAGCCTGTGCTGGTTTATTGGATTTACCCAAAGCCCAAAGTAAGCCCAGCGGACAACCAATGAGAGTAGACAATTAGTCTGAATTTTCTCAAAAAAGTTTAGAACACAGGAAACAAAGCATAGAAAATGGATGAAAACATTACCGAGCTTTTTGAATCATAGCACTTGCCCACCCTGCTTCCTTTGCTTTATTTAATAAATATTCTTTTAGTTTCTCCATCAAGACAAGCAGATAAATTTTTGTCAGCAGAATAAATTTTCTCTCTTTTGCGTTGAGGGGGATGTACTGTTCTTGCAAGACTGTCTCTTTTCCACACATGACATGAATCATGTAATGGTGTGAAATCGTCAGCCTTGTCTCTAATAGTGGTCCACATTTTTTATCTTTTTTCTGGGTTCTTATTCATAAAGGGGTGTTGATTTCACGTAGCTGATCTAAAGATGTCATACTTTGGGAGGGTATTATTAATAAAAAATCCAGGGCGTTAAATATAATAAAGTCAGCAGCAGCCGTTGGAGACAGATGTATGTTTAATTTGCAAATTTCATACCTGCCGCAGCCCTAATTTTTCCTAAGCACCTTGTCCTGAATGCAAATTTTGCAAATGATGCCATAACTTGAGCGAGTCCGTGAAACATTCACTGTTAACTTCTCCCTAGAAATACAAACCAAGATGGCTACTCTGTGTCCACGTGATTAGGAACAGCGGCCTCGTTTGCGATGGACAAAAGAAAAATATGGAAGAAAATACCAACTGGAGCTAAAAGAATGCTAGAAAATAATTAAATTTTGACAACAAAAACTATCCAGCTATAATTATCTTGTCGAATTTTTCTGCATTTAGTTCGATGAGCCACAAACGATATTTGTTTTTTTGAGTAACAAATGGCAGGAATAGGGTCGACTGAAGCTGTACGTGTTGAGAATAAAGATAAGCACCTTTAATACAAGCACTTTTCGTAAAGAACTTCGGCCATATAAATGCCAGAAGACAAGAAAAAAGAAAGTTTGAAACATCGACGATAAGTGTTTTTGCACTGTTCATGCATGTAAACTGTTCGTGCAAAGATTTGCGAAAGAATAGAAGCAGAAGAGAGAAAGATTGCGATAATTACGGGCGAATCGACAACAATTTCAAAAAAGCATGTGTAATAATTTACATTCGTTCAGTTGTGTGTAATAAGCCAATTAATGTTTTTCTTGACATTTGCGAACTGCCAGGCCAAGATGCACAATCTATTTGTGAGTGCATCGTAAATACTTTAGCTAAGTATTCTTTTGATAAGGATTACCTAGCCAAACATTTTATTGCTTTTACTTGTGATGGTGCATCAGTCATGCTTGGTGTTAAAAGTGGTGTTGCAAAGAGGCCAAAAGAGCAGTTCCCTGCAATATTCATTTGGCACAGCATGAACCATCGACTAGAGCTTGCTGTTTCTGATGTTGTGAAACCAATTGATGGATTCTATGCGCTGGAAAGTATTTTCAACAAAATACACAGCGTATATTCGTTTTCGTCAAAATTGCAAAGGCAACTCAAGGAGATTGCATCCAATCTTGATGTTGAGTTGAGGAAGATTGGGAAGGTGTTTACATTCTGCTGGACAGCTTCTACTTACAGAGCTGTTTATGCCTTATATGGTGTTCATTCCCAGCATTCCCTCGGACACATGCCTCGACTCTGCTAAACGTGCGACATACAATGACATTGCAAAAAAGCTAGCAACAAAGGAATTCGTAGAAGATGTGGCTGTCATCAAAGATTGCCTTGGACAAATTTCCATAATACCTCAATCTTTACAGAAATCAGATATAAGCATCATGGAGGCCAATCGTTATCTCAAGTATACGATAAACGGTTTGGAGAAGATCAAGCTATCCATCACTGAGGGGAAATATTCTTTTGACCAAACAGTTGGAAATGATGTTGTTTTCAAAGGAGTTCATTTGCACAACTTTGAAAGCAGATCTTCTTACTCTTTGTTCAACAAACCCCAGTTCTTGCAAGCTCTGATTGACAACATGAAAGCCAGAATGTTGAATGCTAGCGATGGACAAGCCTTCAAGGAGCTAGAGGTTTTTGTTTCTGAAAGATGGCCATCTGATGTAAATGTTCCCTGGTTAGAAGGAGAAAGGCTATTGGTAGAGCTTTGCCAGAGATTCACCATATCTAATGATGGGCAAGGGCTGATTATGGCATTCAGAGATTATGTCTCTGATCCTCGAAAAACACCAAAGTCCATTGAAAATCTGATTCAAGGAATACTATATACGATTCCAATAAGCTCCACTGAGGCTGAAAGAGGCTTTTCGCAGATGAACCTAGTTTGCACACTAGCTTGATCGGCTTTTGCTGTAGCAACCTTGTCGTCAATAATTTAATAAGCATAAATGGACCTCCACCAAACTTATGGAATGCAAAAGAATCAGTTGCCAGGTGGCTTTGGGTCACCAGTCCCGAGAGAGAAAAGAGAGTTATTAAGTCAAAGGAGGACTTGAATTCTCTTGAGCTGATGTTTACGATATAACTCTCACAAACTAAATATAAATGTTCTGTTCTAGTTTTATTATGATGTTATCTTGCAATTTTTAATGGTTATTCAGACATTTGTCATTGTTTTCTACACGGTTTGGTTTGCTTAAGCACTGGTTATCATATTTGAATCGATAAAAATATGGGCGTGGTCAGAAAAACCCAGATCCCTTTCATGACGTTGCCTCTAGAGCCCCCCTTGTTAACTTTTTTAGAAATCACCACTGATTTGTGGGATTCAATTTTACAGCAGACAAGGTATTATTAGGGGTAACTGTTGAATCATATCTTACTATCTATCTACCATCTACCAAAATACTGAAGCTTAACATAAGAAAAGAAGATTACCTACGGGTTTAGAAGGAATCTCTCATTATACTGTGTCTTTTCATTCTCATTATGGCTTGCAGTATTTACAAACTTAATTGTCTTGAATAAAAGTTATACGGAAAAATCATCAAGTTATTTTGTCACACAAGTATCTCAAGAGGAGAAAGTTTGTCAGTGAAGACTTTGGTTCTGCGCATGGGTACACGATGCAAGCTCTATGGAACTGTTACGAAACGTTAGACACTAGTAAGAAACGAGGTTAGAAACTGTTAATTGACAAAATGAAACCGTGAATCCGCAGAAGATCAGTTACTGATTAGTTACCAACGGCAGTTTCATATAACAAGCGAGACATTTAGTAACAGTTGATGTTGAATGTTGGTAACTACAAAACAAGATTAAAAGCACATAGAGCAATGGCTAACAATGAAAACACGAGCAAGAGAGACTCTGTCTGGGCATTTGCCGAACTCTTGCTGAGTTTTTTGCGCAGCTTCGGCACATCGTCCGTAATCAAGCGCTCTGCCCCGTTGTCAATCAGCAATTGTACTTGCTTTTCTGTCGCATCTGTTTCGGCTGAGTTTAGCTTCATGCTGTAGACTGTCCATGCACCAAAACTGATCTTTTCGTTGTAGTTATCTCGAAGAGTCTTGAAAGTATTATTGCTGAACTTTTTGTTGTTGTAAACAGTAAACTGCATATCAACAAAGGATGCGTTCATTGACTTGAAAATGCTCCCCTTCTTAAAGACGAAGTCCATCAGGCTTCGGTCGTTTGGCAAGCCGTCCAAACAGGTCCCTAAACCTGGAAAAGACTCCTTTAGTTGACGTTTCAAACTAGAGTACCACACGCTATCTTGTTGCCAATATTGCTCTTCATAGAAGGAGCCAACAACAAGATTTGGGTTTTCCAACTTTGCGGAGAGCGACTTCAGGAAGTCGAATGAAACAATGAAAACTTTCTTCTCAAGGCCTAGTTTAGTTATCAGCTTTGCAACTTCTCTTCCGGAATCCACACTTCGAGTTTTGTTTGCGTACACAACTTTGCTCGGCTTAAGCTGGAAGGGAAAAAAACCAACTTACCCGTAATCAGTTTTAATAGACTCTTCATGTGAGTTTAGTTAGGCTAAGAGAAACTTAAAATCGAATTCAAGTTATTACAGCTAAATTTTAGCATACTCAGAATTAGGGTGAGCACCTCAAAATCTTTTAAAACAGGCAGTTCTAAAGAAAGACAAGGACAAGTTATTCCGGTTTCCTGAATAGACACCGAAGCACAAAGTGTAGGGAGGAGGGGCAAGGTGGCAACGGTCTACCCATGATCTGAAAGTTGCAGTCTGCAGTAGCACAGCTTATTCCAAGGGGGGTAATTTCCAATATTCGAAAGGGCGTGTGCATAGATTTTACCATAGACCATTAACTAGGCTTACACCGTTCACATTTGCAGCCCCAAATCTCACCCCCTTGGCTACGACAGTACGACACTGTGTCTCAGGAAATTTGATTTAGCCAAAGATGTGCGTAGCAGGAGTGCATGCTTTGAAGTCAGATTATTGAGGCTCTTTACTTTAGCTTTTCTTGCAAAAATGTTTGAAAGACCTGCAGAGGACTGGGCATTAATGACATCACTTAATTAAAGTGGTGTTACAAGAGAATAAATCAAAAATCTAGCAGAGCCATTTCTTACCTCTAAATACATGAACAATTCAGAATCTTTTACTGCGTTCAACAGGTCTTCCAAAAGAGCAACTTTCAAATTCTGGGAGAAATTATAGGTTTTCTTTCCTATCATAAAAGAAGAAACAAATTATAGAACAGATAAATAGGAAGCTTCCTACAAACCACCCAGAACACAGATAGAACAGATACAAATTCATTCGAATAAACTAGAACTTCTCATCTAGCTAGCATCTAAGACAGGTTTTCCGTTGCTCTCTGTCAGTTCTGAAAGAATTTATTAACATATTGTTGAGTATGACGTACTTAGAACACCAAATATTGAAAAATGTGAGGACCTCTCCGAAGACCCCCCTTTTAACCATTATTACAAGAACTGACTTACCCCCGGGAAGAGGACTTTTTTAGTTAGTTTAGTTAGAGAGAGGGACTGTTCGAATCAAGTTAAGGAGTTGTAAAGAGTATTTGGTTTTTCATAAAGGTTTGCGTTGGAAAACTATGTCGTGTTTTGTGTGTTTGTTGCTTGAAGCTAATTGATTTGCACTCGAACCGGGCCACATTTCTGGTGAAAACGACGTGACAAGTAACTGCAAGTGCAAATCTTTTCAATTTTTTCTTACAAAATTGATGTTCTCAAGAAGAAGCCACCCAGAAGAACACAGAAGTTGAAATGATGCAATTATTTGGCAATATCGTATCAAGATTTGTTGTTTTTCTCTTATGATTATTTTCGTGCTTTGTTGACGAGGCTTGAGTTTGATTTTCTTGTGTCTTTCTCGATCTCTCAGTTGCGTTTGTTTACGTTAGGCCCGTTAAAGTTGTGCCATTGCGGATAGTCGAGACTGTTTTCGTGTATTTTAGTAGTATCAAAATGGCACTAACTGGGGAAGAAATCGATGATTTATTATTGGAATGTCATGGTCTACTGACAGGGATGCGCAAGGAGACACTTCATGAATTTTGCAATAAATTAGGGACAATCTCAGAGTCGACCTATTTGGACAAAAGCCGTTTCGCAACCGTAAAATTGATTTTCGAGGAAATTGAAAAACTAACGGAGAAATGCAAAGAAACAGAAAAGGCAGCATTTCTCAAGGATATTCTGAAACAAATTACTGAGGTAAGGAGCGCAATTGCGAGCGGGGGAGATAAGCAACAGACACTGGCTTCCGTTAGACAGGATTTAGAGAAGGAAGTAACACTGTTAAAGGAAAAACAACAAAAAGAGATGGAAGCGTTGACTGATAAATTGAGTGCTGTCAAAATGAGGGCAGGGGGCGACGTTCATATAGATAATGATTTGAATGGACAGGCGACATCTGAAACAAATTACAGGGGCTTGCAAGCAATTCTAAAAAGGGAATTCAGAATTGTCGGGACAGTGGGGGCCCAGGGGCAAAAAGAACAGTTGTCCTATTTGAGCCTCAGTAGACAAGTGGAAAGTGGCAAAGAGCGCGGTTATTCCGAAAAGGAATTGGTTGACGGGCTCATAAAATGCATTCTGCCGGGAATACCCCTCAAAGATTATTTAGAGGCGATGCGAGAAATGGGGTTGGAAACTCTAATGAAAATTATTCGCGCCCACTATCAAGAGAAAAATGCTAGTGAACTATATGCTAGCCTCGCAAATTTGGCCCAGTCACCAACAGAAGATCCTCAAAATTTTCTACTACGTGCCCTAAATTTGCGGGAAAAGATAATTTTTGCATCAAAGCAGGAGGGGAGCAAATTAAAATATGATACAAGTCAGTGTCAGTCCATGTTTCTGCATGCAATCGAGACCAGACTTCTTAGCAATACTTTCAGAACGAGGATGAGACCACACCTACAACGCCCAGATGTTACAGATGCTGAATTGATTCAACAATTAAACCTCGCTGGTGCAGAAGAATCAGAAAGAAATGCCAAATTAGGAATAGGCCAGAAGGGAAAAGCAAAAGTTGCACAAGTCTCTTTGGAACAAAACACAAAGGGAAAAGCTGAGAGCCCCAAAAAGGACAAAGAAGCGGAAACACCACTAGCTCAAAAATTGCTGTCCGAAATCCAAGCGATAAAAGCAGAAGTGGCCTCTCTAAAACAAGATGTTAGCCGCAGTCGTGCTCAGTCCCCTGGGGAGGATAATAGAATATTATCTCAAGGGAGAGGAAGACCCCCTCGTGAAAACCGTCGGGGATGCAAGGAATGTTTCAAGAAAGGCCTTGGAGATAAGTGTACTCATTGCTGGAAATGCGGGAATAGTGCTCATTTTGCCTACAACTGCCCTCAAAGAAATGGACCGTGGCAGGAAAACTGCCCCCGGCTGCTGTCACGGGACAGCCAGTAGCCAAGGCAAATGATGTAGAGTCCCACCATTGTATAAGCTGCAAACAACTACACAAAAATATTTTTATTTGTGCTGCATGTGAAACATCAAAATATTGTAGTAAGGCATGTCAAATAAAAGACTGGGCTAATCATAAACAGATTTGTCTAGCGATTCAGGAACTCTCCGATAAGTTTGAAAGGGTTGAGCATGGAAGAGGTGACAGTGAGGATCATAGAGTCTTTGTTAGCCATCTCTCACCTCAAGGACAAGAAAAACTGTCGAAACTAGTGGGTAGAAAATGTTTGATCAAGTGCAATATGAATGGTATCGAGTTACCCGTACTTTTTGACACGGGTGCACAAGTATCAATCGTGAGTTCAAAAGAGCTTAGAAAACATTTTCCACAGTCAGAGATAAAAGATATCGCAGATCTCCTTGATCAGGACATTGAGTTAGAACTAACAACAGCCAATGGTTCAAAATTGCCATACAGTGGGTGGGTTAAGATGAATTTCAAGCTTCTGAATTCAAATGTAGATGCAGTAGAAGTACCAATGCTAGTAACTGAATTCGAACTTGAGCAGCCTATTATTGGGTACAATGTAATCGAAGAACTTATCAAAAGTCAACAACAAGTCCCAGATGAGACTAACCTTATCTCGCTGCTATCAGCAAGTTTCTTTCAGACGTCACAATCAGATTTAAATGCTTTTGTGAGTTTTGTTGACAGCAAGTCAACACCAATATTTTCCACTGTTAGAACAGGCAAGAAAAGCATTATTGTTACAAAAGGCAGTACAGTAAAGATTTCATGTCGCAGCAAAGTTGGATTAATTAGCCGACCAACACCTATGCTGTTTGAGCCCGATAACGAGTTAAGCTTCCCCTCTGGTTTGGAAGTACACGAGTCTTTGCTCACTTTGAAAAGGGAAAATTGCGACAAGGTGGGAATTTATGTCATTAACACTAGTGCACATGACATCACTTTGAAAGGACGTACAGAAATGGGTTTTCTGCAACCTGTTAGGTCAGTTACACCAGTTGAGTTGAAGTTCAAGGATCACAATGAAATGGATAAAGAAAGAAATCCAAAAGAACTCAAGTCTACAAGGAATGAGCAATACAGGACCAGTCAAAGACAATTAGAGGCTGATGAGAAGCTAGCAACGGACGTGATACCAAAAGTTACTTTAGGAAATCATTTGAGTGAAGAGCAAAAACGGAGTGTACAGCAGATGCTTTATGAAGAACGTGATGCCTTTTGCACAAGTAGCCAAGATGTTGGTTGCGCAGAGGGCCTCAAACATAGGATCATACTAAATGATACAACACCGGTGCAGAAACATTACATTGCTGTCCCAAGACCCTTGTACCCTGAACTCAAGAGATACATCGAGGATCTCCTGAATCGCAAGTTCATCCAGAAATCAAAATCGCCATATAGTAGCTGTTGTGTGATTGTCCGAAAAAAAGATGGCTCAATGAGGCTCTGTATTGACTACAGAGAACTCAATGATAAAACAACAGCAGACCGTCATCCAATACCCAGAATTCAGGACACGTTGGACAGTTTATCCGGAAACAAATGGTTCTCCACTATAGATCAAGGGAAAGCATATCATCAAGGCTTTATGGACCCAGAAAGTCGCCATTTAACGGCTTTTGTGACACCCTGGGGTCTCTATGAATGGATAAGACTTCCCATGGGCCTCAAAAACGCTCCAGCAGAATTTCAACGTTATATGGAGAGCTGTTTAGGGGAATTTAGAGACGAATGTTGTGCACCATATCTTGATGACGTCATTGTATACTCAAAGTCATTCAACGAGCACGTGGAGCATGTAAGAAAGGTTCTACGACGATTGAAAGAAAATGGTATCAAGCTGAAAGCTGAAAAATGTGACATGTTTAAGAAAGAAGTTGTATATTTAGGTCGAATCGTGTCTGAAGATGGTTATCGCATAGATCCAGACAGCACAAAAGCAATTCTCAAGTTACGTGACTACACACCAAAGACTATTGGTGAAGTTCGTCATTTGACAGGTCTACTGGGTTACTACCGTCGATATATTGAAAACTTTTCCAGAGTAGCAAAACCCATTTATGACTTACTCAAGGTGGAACAGCCATGCACTTCCAAAGTAAAGAAAAAAGACACACGTGGGAAAGGAGGCCAAGCATCATCGCGTGCGCCAATTGTCTGGCTAGAGCCGCATCAAAAAGCTCTCAGTTATCTTATAAGCTGTCTTACCAACCCTCCTATCATGGCCTATCCAGATTTCAGCATCCCATTTGTACTTCATACAGACGCATCACAAGAGGGACTTGGTGCAGTCTTGTACCAAAAACAGCAGGGGAAAATGAGAGTGATAGGGTATGCCTCTCGGACGCTATCTCCAGCTGAAAGAAAGTACCATTTACATTCCGGGAAACTGGAGTTCCTAGCATTAAAGTGGGCTGTAACTGAACAGTTCCGCGACTACTTGTTTTACGCTCCAAAATTCACAATATATACTGATAACAACCCTTTAACATATGTTATGAGTACAGCAAAGTTAAATTCTACAGGGTATAGATGGATAGCTTCATTGGCAGATTTTGAATTCACCATCAAGTACCGACCGGGTAAAGCGAATGTTGATGCAGACTTCTTTTCAAGAATGCCAACAAACATTGAGAAGTTCATGGAAGAATGCACACAAGAAACATCACAGATGGATTTTGCAGCAACTCTCAGTGCAGTTACCACCAGGCATCAAGGTAATGTGTATTGGATCCATGCAGTTTCACTTAACCAAAATACTACCCAACTATTAGATGCAAACAAAATGGAAAAACACACTCCC